CCTTAATGTTGTTTATCTTTGAACAACTGTGAAGAAAAAAACGTTTTGATAATGATTTTGATTTGCTAAATTGAGCAGAGAGTGACGATTGGGAAGAAAATGTATGTGATTTACAGTTTCTTTTTCGTAAGGAAGATCATAGTGCATTTCTTCACTTTCTTCTTTTATTGCGTCGTTCTTCCAACGAGTGTATTCTTCTCCGAAGTCAACATTCCGACTTGGTCAACTATCTACGTTCCTTTTCTGATCACCCTCTTCAATGCCATTGCCACACCAAGGTAATTAATTAATTACTACTAATTTCTATAATAACCACAACATTCTTATATAATTGCTTTATTATAAAATTTACACTACTATATATGTTATTAATTATTGGCATGCATGCACGTAGATCATTCTATCTCGTGGTTTTTTGGGTCTTGTTCGAGAATGTAATGGCTATGCATCGGACCAAAGGAACTTTCATCGGTTTACTTGAAGGAGGAAGAGTAAACGAATGGGTCGTCACCGAGAAATTAGGAGATGCTCTCGAGACTAAGTTACTTCCCCAAGTGAGAAAACCTCGCAATGGGATTCTCGAAAGGTAGTCTAATCAAATCACGAGAAGAAAAAATAATAATAGAAGATTTAGTTAACATAGATAAATAACAATCAATTTAAGGTTATCTTTTTTTTTTCAACATAAGATTCATCCTCTGAGGTGGTACAACATACAAATTACCTAAACTAATGAAAGAAAATGATTTGTTTTGCAGAGTAAACGCAAAGGAGATGATGGTGGGGACATACATATTGTGTTGTGCCTCCTATGACCTTGCCTTTGGGAATACAATGTTATATATTTATCTTTACATGCAGGCTCTTGCTTTTATTATTGCCGGAGTTGGTTTTGTCGGAACTTAACATTTCGACATTTTATTCCAATCAAGAAAATATAGTTAGTAATCACTGCGGTTAGTTTTAGAACTAAGAAAGTGTGAAAAGGAATCAATCGATCTCTTTTAAATTATTTTGACAAATTGTAAAGGTTTTTTCAGACTTAAGTTGAAAGTCCCTCTGTAAAGGCAACACTATCTTTTATCTCCAACAGAAATAATATATAATATATACCGAATAAGACAAGTCTTTTAGACAGCAAATGTTAGGGGTACATCTTCAGAAACTTTTGAAAAGTATTGAATTTTTTTGGATCCGATCCTAAATATAAATAACTAGGAAATTGATGCTAGTGCCTCCAACATTATCGCCATGATTTAACACCTATAAGATCTCGATATTACATTATCGCCAAATCTATTATCAAATTTGGTGCGGTATAGTCTTTCTTTTGACCAGAGTTGCATTTCTCTTTTTTTTGCTAAATTGTAGATATCATTAGATGAAAAAAGATTTACATAGCAAACCTAAAGTCTGCGTTACCTTAGCAAAAAAGAATAAAAAACAAGGCAGAGCAAAAAGTTACCTTGACAAAAAAGAATAAAAAACAAGGCAGAGCAAAAATGGGTTACAAGTCTAACGAGATATCCTAGCGTGAAAATCTATCTTAGCCAAAGAAGCATAAAATTTCAGAAATACTTTTTGTGTCTTCTTGCAGAGATTAAGTTGCGTATTTCCCTGTCAATACCCTTGAAGATCACTTGAGCAGAGATGGCTGTTTGGTTGTGAAGGACATTGTTTCTCTGCTTACACTTGAGCAGAGTTGCATTTCTCGGGGTTTATATATTTATTCTGAAAATGTAACATTACATGATATCATATATACATGATAATTTGGCACCCAGTTACTCGATAAAATATCTGAGTAACTCATAGAAATACCACAGTAAATGAAAAGAATATACTTATGATCCAACAAGTGAACACATCTGCCTCGGTAATTTTCTTTCAGCTCCTCCTTGCAAATCATTTTACGTCAGCATAACTCAGAAGCACAGTCTTGAAGATTTACCAATTTCACCTTCAAATCTCCAATGGCTCTTTCTCTCTGGTAAGCAAAGAACTTCAGTGACTGCCACAATGCAACAACAACAAACAAACAAACACGAAAAACAAAGAAAAAAATTCATTCAAATAGGGTTTAAAAGATTATCTCAATCAAAATAACGAAATTAAATAATTTTTAATTCATGTCACTTACGCCGAGTCGCTGCAAAGCAACAGATCTTTGTAACGCATTTCTTTTCGTCAAAAGATTCTGTGCCATTAGTTTTGATGAAGGACGTCTGTAGTTCTTGCCACGGTATATGAGTATCGCGTGCCCTTCTTTAAGTTTTTCAATGGAGATTAGCACTCCATTGCTCTCTGCTTCAAGCGATTTCGCTGTGTAAACAACTCTCGAGAATGTTTTCTGCATTGTGATCACTTTCGCAACCTCCCTGTGCTTCCAGTGCTGATGCAGCCCTTCCATTACGCCATCAAAGACTCCTCTTCTACCTAAACAATGAAACAGATACCAAAATGAAATTTGTGTAAGTCATTCTCATAGCCATTGGATAAGGAACCAGAAGAAGCTAAGAATGGATCCGCGGTGGCTCCTACCAAGAACCAAGCTGCTGTTCATCTTCAGCCCTATTCTTCTCAAGCATTCTCTTTCTTCATTACTCAATATCTCAATGTCATCGTCTCGCTCTGATGGTTTCCACAACGAATTCAATTTGAACAACTCTGTTGTTGATTTCTCTATCTTTGATTTAAGCTGCCAAAAAAAAAAAGTAGAGCAACTCGTGAAGATTATATAACAGTAGGCTAAACTAAAAAGATGCAGTTTTTTAAAAGCTAAAAGGCTTACAATGGAAAGCTTGTGTTCTTGGCTTTTGAGTTCCTTTTCTAGTTTTGCTTTCTCAGCTTCAGTCTCCAGGTTTGTCATCTCCATTTCACCGAATCTTCTCTGAAGTTCTTGAAACTCTGATAAAGTTCCGGTTTTGCTCGTTCCCTCCAGCTGTTTATGATTTGTTACCGCCACCGAGATCTCTATATCGCTCTCGCGTTTAGTTTCTTCAAAATGTTGGTATCTTCTGAGTAACCTTTCTCTGTCATCAACCAAATCCGCAACTTCATCAGTAAGGAAGTCCTTGCCTCTGTAAAGTATTATCAAGTATCTGTTGCGTAGTATCAGAACTCCTCCAGTGAGATGCTGAGAAATCGATAGAGCCCAAAAAATCGCATCAGCCACAAATAATAATTCCGACTATATCTAGAAATTAGCCCCAAGAAACGAAAAAAAAATAATTTTACCTTCAATTCATCTGCCATTTGCTCATTGTTGGTATTGAGAGCTCCCCATTTGATTGCAATCTTTGCTATAACACATTTCTCCCATAATTTGACGATAGCAGAAGCTAATCCTTGAAGCCCATGGTTCCTCCCTTTACCAATTAAGACGAAAGAAAAAGACTGTTGAGAGCTCAAGGAAGAAAACAGCATGAAAATGCAAAGAGAGCAGCACTTAGTTAATACCAACGCAAAAGAGAATGAAGGTAAGTAGTTCCCTCTTTCTTACATGATTTCTTTAGGAAGCATATGAATAACTAAATTTTCCCTGAAGCTTAACTTTAAAGAACACACACAAAGAGAGCAAGACGGCTAAAAAGTAGTGAAGACTAATTACCAAGGACGAAATGAAATGGTAAAGCTTGAGCAATGTTCCTCAAGTAGGTAAGCTCTTGGTCGCTGAGCTTTGCTCTAGTGTTTGGTGGACAACGTCTAGATGGAGTTGTATATCCATCGACCACTTCAGGAAGCAAGTCAGCATCAACTGGAAACGGTCTCCGCATCCACCAATCCATGTATCGAGGTCCCAAACCATTCAATAACCTATCAGCTTCTCTCTCGTACAATGATGAGTTAATTTCCGAGTTGGTTTTCTCTGACGAATAACTCGGTGGTCCTCGATAAACAACGAGAAATTCCTTCTTGCTCAACACAACCAAGCCTCCAGTCTTCATCTATTCTTGAAAACATGAAGTAGAGATAAATTATTTCAGAGAAAGATCAAGATTTCTTCAACTTCCAGTGAATTAACAAAGTTTCAACGGACAAGTGAGGTTAAGACTAACCAAACCTCTATGATCTCTTGAGCTCGCTCCATGTTCCTACAAAGAGGAACATCAAATCTCACCATGGCAAGCTCGTTCAACCTCCAGATCGATCTAATATCATTCACAACCGTCTCTGTAACTCCTGCTTTTCTCACATTCACCCATTTTCGCATCTTTGAAGCTTCACGTCTCAGTCTTTTCAACAATCCTTCGTCGAGGATAAGATCAGCCGCCGTCGGGGCTCTCTCCTTCTTCGTCCTCCGCAATATGAACTTCTCTTCTTCTCTATCCCACGGCATTTTCCCGGAAAATCTCTTCCCAGACTCGGTTTCCTCCGCAATTCGACCTAATGACTTGAATTCGACTGGATTATCCATCTGGGTTTCTTCTGAATCGCTGTTTTCTTCGAGCTTCTCGACCTTACGGACGATTTTCTTCATCGCTTTACTTCCCCTGACACCGCTCTCTCTACGGTTCAACGCCTTGAACGTCTTCTCCTCAGCATTCTGTCCTCTGATCCTCTTCTCGTGACGATATGAAGTGTCGAGAACCTCATCGGGTCGAATCAAGAGTGGACCTTTCATCCATGGAGCAGTAGTAGGAACCTTAATCGGAGCATCAGAGAATCGTGAGTTCTCACTAAATTGGTCAAATTGGGGGATTTTTGAGGCATTCGAAGGGTTTCGACTAGGGTTTAACGAGGAGTTAGTGATGAGAGATGGAAAAGCTCGCGCCGAGAGGAATAGAGAAGTTAGCATCAGTAAAGTCTGCAACTTTGGGTTTTCGCCAAAGTTACTCTACAGAGATGATGAACAATGGCTCACAAAACGACAACATATCGTGGATAAGATAAATCTTTGGGTTTACGATTTTGGCTTCGGTTGGAGACGGTTCGAACCGAACCCAATCCCTTCATATTTTGATGGCATGGCAAAAAATATGGTTGCCAAAAAAAATAAAAAATCTAAATATCATCACTTTATTTACTAATTCAAAAAAAAGTCACAATCTTTAAAGTAATTACGGACCAAACCCAAGAACTAAAGGTGATATTCTTAACAAGGGTTCTAAAGTCTCGGCTGTAAATTTTCTGGCAAATAAAAAACATTTCGAAGTTGTAACATTTACACCATCACGACCATAATACGCACACTCCTCTGTAAACCGAATCCGATTAAGAAACTCATCGGTCACATCAGGCCAAATAAACCGGCCAGGATGTGGACCGACTTTGGACCAATCGACCCACGTCAAGGTCCGGTTCGAGCTCATCTCTCCATGCAACATGTGAACGAGAGTCGGGATATAATGTTCGTCCATGTAACAAGGCGGTTTGCAATGTTGATCGAATATCTTGTAATAAACCGTGTCTGCGATAATATGAAGAGCAAGCTCGCGAGTTGTTTCAAACCATTGTGATCCTTTTCGCCAGTGTGTGATGTTGATTTGTGGGTACATTTTGGGGTTGTAGCGGCCTCGGCCTGATTTTCTTGGATCGTCGAATGAGCCAATGAAGCTGAGATTGGTGCCGGTTAAGTAATCATAGATGGTTGTAAAATTAAAGAGTGGGATGCAAGAATCGGACAAGAGGACGAATCTTTGATTTGATTCGTCGAGGAGTGCGTTGCCTAATAGTCTTCTCTCTGCGTCTACCATTGTTGATGTTCCCCAATACACCGCCTGTTTCACAAATCATCATCGTATTATTATCGTTAATTTTATGATAATTACAAGTTAAAATAATCCAAATAAATTTCGAATTCAAGCTTTTAGGTTCATTGACCCTAGTCTTGAGGTCACTTTAACTTACAAACTAATTAGAATATATGTCTTATTAGATATATATATATATATATGTATGTATATATATATTGTTTATTTAGTGATGAAACATTTCAAACGTTAAAATGACAGTTACTTTTGCAAGTCACAAGCTCCATACAAAAAGGTAGTATATACACGTAAAAAGCGTTAACTTCAATTCATACAGATCTGTTTTTAGTTTTTATATATTTTATAACTTTTATGTTGTGTCGATGCATTTTCAAATATTTCCTTTGCTGTTATTGACATCATAATTTGAGAATTGTCAATGTGAGAATTCTCTTTAACAAGGTTAAAAAACGTATTTATGTATTTATATTATAGACTTAGACCATCATTATCGCCAGAAACCATATAGATTTCTTATTTAATTGTTTTATTATTATATTTTGTATAAAAATGTGGCCCACAAAATCAGAAACTCAATATATTTTATTATTATATGTTGTTAACCGTTTAAATAGAAATATGTGGCAGAAGAAATTCATTTTATGGTTCCCAGATAAGAAACTTTTCTTCAGATAAATGTGTTATTTGATTATATTTATTATTAAATATTCATAAGAAACTCATAAAAAATTAGTGATGCTCGAGTATCAAATGGGTTTATGGACCATTATGCAAGGGTCGAATCAAGATCTATACACGTGCCACGTGAAAAAACCCAACCTGTCAAATCCAAGAAATATATATTCTTTGGCAAACTAGCTAGTGATATAATTGCTAGATTATAGGGGTAACAAGTAGGCGTGATTAAGAAAAGTGAAAGAGGTAATTAACTAAGAAAATATATTAATAATCACCTGGCTAGGGATTCTTCTTGAGTAGAAGACGGAAGTTTCGGGGTAATGTTCTTGAAAAGATGGATTGGTATGAACGTATATGGAATAAAACCCTTTGTGTCCTTCAAAGAACTTCTCCCACAAAGCAGCCAATGGGAGCCCGCCACCTGTCAAGAACATGAAGGCCACCTTCACCACCATCTTCTCCTCATTATTATGTCTCCTCCCAAACCATGACGATGATGGTGATGATGATGATGATGGTAATGATAATGACATGACCCTTGTGAAGAGCTCTTGATCACTCATGTTGTGTTGAAGAACTTGTGGTTGTAACTCTTGATTGATCTCCACCGTTGTTGTGTGGTTGATGAATAGTAATGAGGACCATAAGGGTTGTTGTTGTGTCTTCGTCGTAGACATGTGGAATGTTTTTAGTTGCAGACAAAGGAAGAGACCGATTGAGAAACCGATGATAAAGAAGAGTGAGCTTAAGACATGATTACCCTTTTGTAAGAGAATCAATCTCATGGGCTTTGAGATCATTGGTTGTTCTTCTTCTTTCTTGCTCTTTTGATCGGTAGAACTGCTCATTGTAGAGAGAGAGAGAGAGAGAGAGAGAGAGAGAGAAGGAGAGAGAGAGAGAGAGAGAGAGAGAGAGAGAGAGAGAAGGAGAGAGAGAGAGAGAGAGAGAGAGAGAGAGAAGGGAGGTTGTGAACATTAAGGTTGCAACTAAAAGTTATAGTATAAATGTGTTATTACAAGTTGTAAAAGAAAACCAATGTACAATTTGGAGTGTATTAGACAAAGTCAAAGGAGTTCTTGCAAGTTAACGTACATTAATCAGGTTAGACTTCAAATTGAAGACTTGACCTCTTGACTTTTGTAAATTTGTTTTAAAAAACAAATATTGTGTTAGAAAAACTTAGGTTGTAGATCTTAACATTCACAAGGATTTGACGAAGTTTTTGCCCTTCCGACGGCGTAAGAGGTGCAAAAGTCTACACTTTAAGTAAGGGTGATTAATATATAAACTATCTTCAATCGGCATGATATTTACACCTCACCGGTGATTCCATAACGTCGAAATTGAAAGAAAGAAAAAAGAAGAAAAAACAGAGTCAACTATGAATATTTGAATCGGACCAAATCTTTAATTAACCGATCAAATCAAAATTGAACACACTAGTGAGTGGTGATATAACCTGACCGGTTCTATCCCATATATCTAACCTATACTTTGATGATATGTTAAATACTTAAATCTATGTTTGGGTTCAATTTTTGTTGTTGTTGTTGTTAAAGGTCTTAATTAAAGTGAACCAAAACAATTTTCTTATGAAGCAACCCAAAAATCATTCAACTGTATCAGTTTTGCTTGGAAACAAAAGTAACTCAAACCATAATCAATTTGGAAAACCAAGATGTGCAGTGCATCCATACGTAAAACAACTTTCTTAAAATTAAAGAGAAATAGGAAATGAAATGGTCCTATAGTTAAGGAATTTTCAATTAATACGAGCTGGATCGATTAATTAAATTCGAAAGTTTGAGATACTATTCATTTTAAAAAAAAATTTGAAGCGCGTGCAAAATGTTAGGTGCTGACCCACGAAACCAAGGAACAGGATCTCATGCCTAATTTTTAGGTACGCTTGAATGTCATTGCCAGAACCCAGAAGTCAGAACTTTCTCTCTCTCTTTTTTGGCCCAATAGTCACGTACGAAACGTTGGCTTGATTTTATTGTTACAAAAATGAGTAATATAGAGGTTAAGGAGTTAAGCATTGAATCCGTGAGCGGCATTAGAATTTAGTGGGTTTTAAAAAAGTATTAAGGTCTAATTACTTTGTTTAGTCAAGACACAGAAGTAGTTAAAGACCAAGCTGGAAAATTTTACTTCTACTCAAAGCTGTTAAGACTTAGACGGTTTATTTACGACACGACCAATGTACACTAATTATGATTTTTCATCAATATATTAGTCACTAAACTAAGAATTAACCTAAATTTGACTAGGATGTGTAGTATAGTGATTTGTGCGCGTCACAAATCCAGCATAATTCATTTTGTTCACGAAATTATTGTCAAAATTCTAAATTTTGTGGGTGTAATTGATAATTCCAGAAAAATATTAGGTTTGCTATGTATTAAAGCTCTGATTGGCAAATGAACTTTTAAAACTGTAAAGACTTTAGAGAAAATTAAAAGTCTTAAAGGTCATTAATTAACCAATCAAACTTTATTAATTTAAAAGTTTTTAAAGTAAAAAAACTGCTCCTAAAATTTTTCACAGTTTTCTCTCTCTATTTTTCCACGTAATCTACACTTAAGTTTTAAAAGCTTAAAAATGTGGCTTTTTTATTTCTTAAAGTCACAACCAAAATTTTACAGCAACAGTCAAAAATTAAAATTATCAGTCAAAAATTCGGGTAGTTAGTTAGACACATGCATAATCTTTGGCGGGTTAATTTCAGTATTTCTCAGCTGACAAAAAAAAAATAATTCAGTATTTCTCATAAAATATTAAAGAAAAAAAAAACCTGGAAAAGAGTGAATGGACGATTCGACTTCGTTTTGATATTCTCAAACTTCTCGAAGAACCGGCGATGGACGCCGACGGAGAAACCATGGCGACGACGAGGACAAGAGAGGAAATTGACAAAGACGCAGAGGAGAATCGGAAAGAAGCGTTATTAGCGTCAACAGAATCCCTTCAACCTAATTTCAATCGATCCAGCGTCACTGAGAAACAGATTTCGAAATTACAGGTTCGGATTTTCAAATCCCTGGCCTCGAATTTTATATTAGTTTCTGATTCTTGACATATGAGGAGTCGTTTGGAGTTTCAATTTTAGTTTCAAAACATCGGTTTTTTTGTTCTGGTTATGTTCTGAGATTTACAGGAGCTACACAAGAGACGTATGCAGATAAAAGCGAGTTCAAAGATCCATAAGAAATCCAAAGGTAAAGCTCTCTTTTTTTGTTTGTGTGTGTATGTTTAAAACAGCGGTTTATATCCATTCAAATTAACACTCTAAACTGAAATGCAGGAAGCAAGAATTCTCAGAGCAGAGCAATTAAAGATGGCGAAAGCTCTAAGAAATTGAAGGAATCAACTTCTTCTACTACTACCTTAGAACGGCATCATCATAAGACAGTACCAATGATTCCACAAAAGCTGTATTGGGGGTGAGCTCTTCTTTGCTGCTTTTTTTGAAAATTCTCAAGGTATAGAGAAACCCTGAACATACCGCTAATGCAATGTTTATGCGGTTTTTGTATTTGGAAACAGGCTAGATACTAAAGAAAGGTGGGAAAGGAAAGCCAACATGTAGTGATGAATCGATTTCTCGTTACTGATAACTTAGTCCATTGTACAAGTTATTCAAAAGAGCAAGAAGAGTAGAGAGAGAGAAAGACTGAAAGACTAACAAGATCAGTGATGATGAAACAAAGTGGGTTTTGTTTTTCTGATTTTTCTTTTTTTGGTTTAGTTTCAAGCTCCAGAGGTAAGAGCAAGCTCTATTTCCTCGAGTGATCGTCCTTTAGTCTCGACGACGTTTCCTGCAATGTAGATGACGGCAAGGACGCAGACTCCGGCAAAACCTAAGTAGACGCTGCTGATTCCGAATTTAGTCACAACGCTCAAGAAGTAGAGTCCAATCACAAAGTTTGATATCTGTTGGTGCAAAAGTAAACAGAACAGAAAAAAAAAAAAAAAAAAACAACATAAGAAATGGAAAGAAGAATCTCTATTCTGAACCATGGAACTTAGAAAAATATTATATACCCAGTGCATGCCGAGAGAGAGAGCGACGGCTTTTGCTCTGATTCGGGATGCGAATATCTCTGGAAGAAGAAGAGCCGGTACCGGGCCAGCACCAAGTGAGAATGAAAGGACATATCTGGTTAAACAAGCGAGCATATAAGAGTCGGTCAAGTCCAAATTTAGAGAGACTAAAACACGTTTTAAGAAGAGACAGGACTTACAGAACAGTTCCAACAACGGCAAGGGTGCCTGAATATGCAGCAAGAGCCTTCCATGTGAAGGACAAAGAGAGCAAAAGCATCGACAAAGCCTTTTGCCAATACAAAATTCACAAGTCTAAGTTAGCTCGGTTATGGTTATGCGGTTGAGATTTACAAATATGGCTAAGAATAAGAAAAATAATGTACCATTCCACCAAAGCTTGTGAGTAGAAGACTTTTCCTTCCCATCTTGTCCATCAATGACGAAGCAACAGCAGTGCCTGCAACAGGTTTTGTATCGGGTTATTTGTTCGGTCATGTTGGAACTCAATGGGAACATAAGACAGAAAACTAACCAAAGACGTTTGATGCTCCAACGAGAGCACTGGCTGCTACATCAGATTGGATTCCGGCGCTACGGAACACAGATGTAGAGTAGTACACAACTGCGTTTATCCCGGCTAACTGTTGAAACAAGAAGAGAGCAGCACCTACGCTTACAACTACAACAAGAACAGACAAGAAACTGTGTAAATAGATCAATCCGATATGAAGGTTTGAAAGGAACGTCTTAGCTGAGTCCGTCAGATTTTATATATAAGCGAAACAATGTATCTCCTGCAGGTCTTGCGATACCTTTCCAGTAACGGCTGCTGAATAGATCAAACCATCCCGCCTCTGGCTCAGAAGAACCTTGGCCAGAGGTTGATAAGTCACGCACTAGTTCAACCACTCTTTCTTTACCATACAGAGTTTTGATCGCCTTTTCAGCTTGAGAGATTTTTCCTTGCTGCAATTTGATTTCCTTGACTAGTCAGAAAAATGATCTCAGTTAAAAGTGTGAGCTGAGTCCCTGGAGGGTACCTGCACGAGCCACCTTGGGCTTTCTGGAGAAAAAGCCATTCCTATGGCCAATAGAACGGAAGGGATAACTGCTACACCAAACATCGTCCTCCACCTAGAAATTCATGAGATCGAAACTTATATAAACACAATAATGCAACCAAGAAAAAGAGAATATATTATTCGGACGAATCAAAAAGGAGTCGCATACCATAGAGGGTTTGCTGCAAGGGGTAATCCAGCTATCAAGGCTGCAAGTATTCCTATACATATGAACAACTGGTTCACAGATCCTAGTGCTCCGCGGATTTCAGTTGGTGATATCTGATACCAATCATCACGCGCTTCAGCAACATAACATATAAAGAAACATCTGACAATCTTAAATCAAATGTGCAAGAACTATAAAACTCAGTCTTAAAACAACCTCGGATATGTAAAGTGGTACGATCGCTGATGAGATTCCGATTCCGATTCCTGCGAGCAGACGTCCTACAATCATAGTCTGCACGCTCTGAGCTGTTGCACTATGAATCAAAATAGAACCAATGCGTTACAAAAAAAAATCACTTTTAATCTCCCACCAATAGGTATGAGTTAGTGCTTTGAAAAAAAAATACCATAAGAAGGCTCCAATGGCAAGTGGGATAGCATCCAATTGGAAAGTTCTTGTTCGTCCAAATTTGTCAGCTAATGCACCTCCGGTGAATGAACCAACCGTTGCACCAGCAAGAAGCGCACTAACGATCCATCCTGCTCAAAAGCAATCAGAGAAGATTACCAATACATGAGCTTTGCTACTGATCATGACATTCGAACAAAATGCTCTCAATCTATCCGTAAAAATAATACGATGATATAGACCACATTTTCAGTTAATGGTTATATCCAGAGGAGGAGTAAGAGAAGTCAAATAATAATACACTTGCCTTGCAAAACAGTGTTATCGGCGATACCAAGATCCTTAGCAAGGTATTCAAGAGCGCCATTAACTACCCTGATTCAATCCAATGGAAAATCCACATCATCTATATCTATCAACATCCATGATCACACCAAGACAACCAAAAAGATGGAGATTAAAGTGTAGTTACTCATACCCAAGATGGTAACCAAACAGTATAGCACCAAGACAAGCAACAGCAACAAACGGTAAAACCGTCCCGGAGCTTTTCCCTTCATATCTCAGAGGTCTAGCTTCTTCTGCATCTCCACCTACATTCCATCCTCAAATCAGCAAATGATTTAACTCCAAATCCAACAAACATAGCAACTTAGAAGAAGAGTATTCCCAGGATCTTCATGTTATAGTAACAACTTGTAAACAATCACAGAATCAAACTATAAAAACAAATAGAAGACGAACCAGAGGAGGCTTGGGCTCTTACGGATCGAGCTTTGACCGAAGAGAAGCTCATAACGCTTTGGATACCGTTTTCAGCGCGAGCAAGCTTCGCACCCATGGCTTTCGAGCCAGAACAGTGGAGTGGTCTGAAACAAGAGCCGGTGTTGAAGCGAATTACGGTAGTAGTCGCCGATCCGTTGTAGAGGTTAGAGACGCTCCGTCTGTGAAACGCAAACGCGGCGTTTCCTTTTAACGCATACGTTGACGACTGCATTTTTTTCTATAATAAAACCGTATTTGAGAGGAAAAGAGAGAGAGATTAGTCAGAAGAAAAAAACAAACGAGGAAAGATCGCATTAAATCCAACGGAACTAAAAAGAGAAGTAAGAAACGATGAACACGCGACATCACGAAATCGATGCATTGACGGCGAACGAGAAAACGCTCTCTCGATCGCGACAAATTAACCAAAATCGAAACTTCAGATTTGAAAAACAATGAACAAAGACCAAAGAGAAGCAGAAACGATTTCGACTTGTAGTAAGAAATTACCAGAGAAACTTCGGAGACTCCGCGAAGAGAGAGGTACACTGAGAGCTTTTATCAGAGATTTTTATGCAGGAGAAGAACTTACTTTCAGAGCTTTTTTTTGTTATCAAAAATATGATTTCAATAATTTAAAACGCCAAACAAAAAACCAATTTGGATTTTTGTGTAATAATAATTCATATCTATCCAAAGTTCCAAACCATAACAGTTTTTTGTTTTTAACATTTTAAGAGATACCTCGAATTTATTTAATATGATGCATCTTTTAGTTCTACGAAAATACTGAATTTCAAAGTAACATGTATCTAACTAACCAAATGGCAAAATTATTGAGGAACTTTTTTTAAGTATTTCAAACACTGGAAAAAACAAAATATTGCTACTATTAAACTTGTTATATTGTAAAAATTTTGAGCTGCAGAGTCCTATGTATATTATATCATTTTCTCACATCCATTTTCTCTTTTATTCATTCAGATTTTTATTTTCATGATCATCTTTGACATATAATCTTTGACCAAAGGACATGTTGGCAGCATGTATACATCTTTACAAATCAATAATTTTTTGAAAATCTATTTTTTATTTGGCAAATCTATTGAACGTGGCTATATAATGCAATTTAACGAGGTATGATTGGTGGAAAAATGTACGTTAATAGAATATTAGCGTGTAATATGTAAAATGCTAGAGGGTAAGAAAAAGGAAGTAAAAAGAGGTAGGAGTCGCAGGAGGCGATTTGGCAACAGTAGATTTTCTGGATTAGATTTTGGATGACGTATGCCACACGTGAAAGAGAAGAGTACACACGTGCCGTATGGATGACGTCTAAAAATGATAACTATTTGGGCTACTATTACTCGGCTCATAATTTCCATGTGGGCTACTAATGAAAAGCCCATTAACCTAAAATGAAACTAGTTTCTATGATCTTCGCGTCTCTCTTCTCATATGCACACTTCAGTTCATCGTTCTATCTCATATAGTCATATTACCGGCTTCGCGAAAGAAATCTTTTTTTTTTTCTGGCTAAGCCTGAATTATACAAATCCCCAGAAGAGAGGTCAGCATTTCTTACTTGTAATTTATCTTCTGATACTAAGAAACTATTACGTAATCGTACGAAATCGTTGTAGTTTACTAATCTCTGATTCCTCAGAAAATCTGCTGTGTCTTCTGTTCGATTACACTTACTTTTCTGCTATGCGTTGTTTTTCTGTTAATGGATTTTACTAAGCTTTACTAAGCATTTATGTCGAATTTCACATTTATTGTAAGATGTTATCTTTTCTTTGTAATGGGTTCGATGGTAAATGAAAACAAATGTAGTGAATCTCGAAGTTTCTCATATCCTCGTCTTTTAACTTTCAACAGTTCGTTCAAAAAAGGTTACATTTTTCGATGTATTGTAATGGTTTTGTAGCATAAATTACTAGTTGATTCCATTTCTTTGAATTCAACAGCTCGATGTTCTGCTCAGCGTATACACCAAGTATTTACCATCTTCATGCGGAAAAGCCCGTTTTTCGGAAACAGAGGTTTCGAGTTTGTTCATCTACTTCTAGTGAGAATGACAGATTCAAACTAGAGTATACTCCTTGGCTTATCGTAGGGTTGGGCAATCCTGGAAATAAATATCATGGAACAAGACACAATGTAATGAACAAGACAATCCTTTTTTTAAGTTGAATTATTCTTGTGATTTTTGGGTTTAGATCTCTGCAATTCTAAAAGTTTATTGTTGTTTTCAGGTTGGTTTCGAGATGATTGATAAGTTGGCTAGAAAAGAAGGTGTTTTGATGAACACAATACAGTCGAAAGCTCTGATCGGAATAGGTATTACTTCTCTTGCTTTCGGTTCTTCGGTTTGAACCATAATAAATCTGATGACTTTTCCGGTTCTATGTATGATCAGTACAGGTGCTATCGAAGAGGTACCTATCTTGTTGGCTAAACCTCAGACTTACATGAACTTCAGCGGCGAATCGGTTTGTATTTTCTGATCATCAAACTTTCCTTATCATAACTTTGCAAAGATCAGCTGCACGATCAAATCATCTTACCTCAAACTGTTCTGTTGTCGTTTAAAGGTTGGATCTTTAGCTTCACACTATCAAGTACCTTTGCGTCACATTTTACTGGTAAGGTTACTGAATTTAGTTAGCATCCCTAGAAATCAGATAAATATTTCCCGAAAGAACCATTCTTGTTAAATCTCGGTACAATGTTTCTCCATCGTAGATCTATGATGAGATGGCTTTACCAAATGGGGTTTTGAGACTTCAACCAAAAGGAGGTCAAGGCTATCACAACGGGTATATATATGCCTCTTGAACATCTGAGTGCGTTCTCTGATCTTGAAAATGATGTTAGTTTTGTAATTGTTGCAGAGTGAAGAGTGTGATGGGGCATTTGGATGGTCGTAGAAACTTTCCTCGACTAAGCATAGGTACCATTTTGGTCTTGATTTTGGTTTTAGTCCCGAGAGTATCCTTTGTTTTTCTCTCAAGGATTTTGTTCTGTTGATTGTTGGCAGGCATTGGTAATCCACCTGGAAACATGGATATGAAAGCTTTTCTTCTTCAGAAGTTTAGTCCATTGGAGCGGAAACAGATTGATGAAGCACTCGAGCAAGGAAGTGAAGCAGTGAAGACTCTTGTGCTCAATGGATTCAATCAAGGAATCTCAAGATTTAATCTTGTGCAGAAGTATAAATTCCATAAAGTATAAATGAAAATTGAAAATAAGAGACGAGGAATTTAGTAACATAAAGAATGTGAAGAGATTCGGATTAGTTTAGTATAATTTTCATTTTAACTGTAAAACAAACAAGAAGAATTTCTCTTGTCCCTAAGCTACCATGTCCAACTGGTCAATGCATTCTTAATTTCTTGTATTTGTTACACTGTAGTTAAGTTATTAAATTTTACGTGCACTTATATCGGTACTATCCAAAGAAATATCTAATCAACATGTACAACATATTTGCCGGAAAGAAGGATTACAGCAACAACATGTCACATACATCCAGTAAGTATTTATCATATGATTTTGAGTTGAACAGAGCATGATAAACACAAATTAATCCATCTCCATTTACTTTCGCAGACAAATATAACCTTGGATTATAATCAATGGCACAGTATAGTTACGCGTCATATGTTCATAGATGAATTCTCTTCCCGATGTATTGTCGACAGCATATGAAACTGGAATTTTAATAGGAGTCTCAAAATTGAAAAGCACAGAATAGTCTTCGTAAATAGAACATTAAAGATTGTGAATAAGGAACTGAATCAAGAGAGAGTTTCCTTCATCCTAAATATCACAAAACAGATTCAAAAGCTCTCCTGTCTAATCTTGACGATTCTTCAACATCATCAACGTCTTTCTTTAGGCTTCAACTGGGTACTCAAAAGTGACATCCTTTCCAGTAAGTTTCCGGTACACACCAATCATAGTGTCGAGCTTGTACTCTGTGTTGTTCCTTTCCTTGGTATCCAAATAGACCTGTGACATGGTCAAAGAAGAATGTAAAGCTGAGCTCAATAGTATTCAGAGAAAGACCTGAATACATTCTCATAGATGATACGATACCTTCATGACTTTGGAACCATCAAGACGGTATCGAGTACGTTTTCCAACAATCTCCGCAGGGTAAGCGACATCCTCGAGCATTGCTTCATGAACAGAGGTTAGAGTTCTGTTGCGTGGCCTCTGAACAGCAGCACCCTTCTTTGGAGGACGCATGATCCTTCTTGTGGCAACAAAGATAACATCCTGTGTAAAAAAGATAGATTAGCAAGTGACATTGTACTACTCTATAAGCCATTACTAAAGAGGAAGTAATTATAGAATAGTACCTTTCCACTAAACTTCTTCTCAAGCTCTCTAACGAGGCGAGGATGAATCTTACGGAAAGATTTCCTCAATCTAAATGGAACGTAAATCACAACAGCCTTGCGGCTTCCAGAGATATCCATGTGACTGCAATGAAAAGAATCAAATTATTTTCATTTGATAATGGCGAATGCAACACATGTAATGAGACGCGGAAGAAACTAAATACAGCAACATACACAGCTTGGTTGATGTAGAGATCTTTCAACTCGCTTTTCAACTCCTGGTTAGTGTTCTCCAGATCAAACAAAGCCTGAAAAAACAAATACAATTGTAATCAATGAATGATTCCAGAGAAACAATTCAACAATTCTACTGAGAACAGACATAATGAGCAACTCTTACCTGAGCAACTTGCTCCTCGCATTCTGTTGGCTCGGCATTCTTGTCCTTCTTGATCTTGTTCTGAGCAGAGAACATTTTCACAGATCTTCAAATGTAAAGAAAGAAGACATTAGGCACACGTCCTTACTATCGGCATAACCGTGAATTTTAAGCTTCCAGATACTGATCAACTCATTACATTCTAGACCAACATTTTAAAAAGACATTGACAGACATAGCTGTTATAGATGATGAGCAAAACATATAACAAAGCTATTCTATTCAATCATATTTTGGAGGTAGTTATGAATTCTTAAATCGACATTGCTTGATAGTCTACAGTGGACAATACCAAAGCTAGTATCCTTCCCCTAAACACCATAACACCATGAACTAGACAAATTACAAAAGCCGAATCTTCCACTATTCTACACTGAAATGAGCTATTAGATGTCAGAGAAAACATCATTTCTGCTTCTGAAAATAAACAGAACAAAACCCATTTGACAAAAGTTCGAAGAAAACGACGGACCATAGAGGAAACGAGAGAGAAACACTTTCAGACATACCGGATAGCGAAAACGGAGGCGAAATCTGCAAGAACGAAGAAGAGCCCTAAGTTAAAAACAAAAGGTTGCGGCTTCTTCTTAGAAACAGCGGATTGTGTAAAAACTGGTTTTAATGTTTGATGATTAGGGTTTCAATGTTGCCCTATTTTGAATGTGATCAAATATGGCCCGTTTAAAGGTTCTTAAAGCCTATGGGCCTATTTATTCAATAACTCGTCTATATATCCAAAAACAGCAACGCTTATTATCTTTTGTCAGAGTTTTAATTTCCGAGGAGATATATACATAAGTTTGATACTTTCTCCCGAGTTCCATTAAATTTATGTTTACAGTTTAGAAAATAACCCAAAATCTATCAGAGGATAGAAGATGATATATGATTTGCAGACAAAAGTAAGGAATTACTGTAACTCGGATTTACTTGTTAGTTGCAGATACAATTGCAAAGATAAACTATTATTTGCTCCCCTATGAAGTAACTATCCAGAAATTATTGCAAAATAGTGACCATTTATTGCTTGATTCATTGAAAAATAGTTACACTTCAAATGTAAACAAATAAATTCTACGTACAATGTTACGAAACAAATGATCATAGTCTACGAAGTACTAGTAACTAAGGGTTCCTCAGCTTGCGCTGGCAAGCTATGGTCGTCGAGCCAGGAGATAATATCAGACAAGACACGGAGGATCATTTCGTCTGGTTCGCCTTCGAGCAGAGAATGATAAGCTTCTTCATACAAAACTATCTTCTTGTCTGAACTTTTCGCTTTCTCGTAAAGCTCTCTGCTTACTGAAGGATCTGTCACAGTATCAGCTTCTCCGTGTAGAATCAGTATTGGCAAAGACACCTGCAAAGATTTAAACAAGAAACCATTTTATTATTCTGATTTTGCTTTTTTTTTGTTTCGGGTTTTTCATATATTTTTTTTTTAACCTGTTGCAATTGTCGCTCAATCTCCTGAGTTGTTCGAAGCATTTCTACTGCAGTCCGTAGCCGCGGTTTATCGCTGTAACAAATGATGTTGTATGGTGTCTGCAAATTTTTTAAAAAAAGAAGAATGGTTTAGTAAAGAAATCGATTCAACAAAAATAAGCTCCGCAAATCTGTAAATGATGTTTATACCATATGTCTCTTCCTGAGATCTCTAAAAGCTGCTTCTGCTATATCCTTTTGTGGAACCAACTTGTGTCTCGGTAGAACATTGGCTAAACCGATCAGAATCTGTTTTAATACCGGAGGTGGAACCATATCATCTGCAATCTAGAATGGATAGATATTTACATGTCAAATGTTATGATTAGTAAGTAATACACGAGATTTCTTGAGGACAATGCAAATAATATAGAAGAAAAACAAAATCTTATACTTTGCACATTGGTGCTACCAAGACTGCGCCGGTCCAAGCATTTGGTTGTTTGAAATGTATTTTGAGAGACACGGCTCCACCCATTGACTGACCAAAGAGAAAGCTTGGTAGAGAACTAAACTCGGGATTCTCTACAAACAACAAAAATTCAAAATCTTTAGGTACCTAAGAGATAAACCTTAAGTTTACCCTTTCGAGTCACACGATGTGGTTCAAAGTTTTTACCTTTTATAGTGGAGTAATGCTCAATGACATCATCAACAAGAAGATCAAAGCTAGGGATATAACCGTGCAAGCCTTCCGATAAGCCAAAACCCGGATAATCCATAGCGAAAACTCCATATCCCGACAATGCCAATCTCCTTGCAATCCCTGCAAAAAGCGAGCTAGTAAGCAACCAAACATTTCCCTAATTGCATAAGCAAACCAATTGGCTGTTAAAAGTAAAAAACCAAAACATGCCTTCGAAGAAAAAGGTGCAAGTATCTCCATAACCATGGCAGAAACAAACCAAAGCTCTGGGCTTAGAAGCTTCAGGAAGCCAGCTTTTGGAGAATATCTCAACTCCCCTTGAATTCACCTCATAAGACTACACAAATCATCACCAACACACACAAAAAAATAACAATTGCTTCAAGCTATTTAAACTAACTTTGGATTCCTGAAAAAGTATAAAACAAATCCTTCTCTTCTTTTACCTCCTTTGTCTTAATTCCATCTCCTGGTGTCTGCAGCATCACCAAAAACCCAACAGATTTAACCCCATAATTCAGACAAAACCTGATGCAGATTGGTCTAAAGTCTCAACCTTTCTTATACCCACTTCGATTGGAAGGGAAAATATTCCAACTATTCAGGCGAATTGATTCAATTTTGGATATTTTTTTAGTATTTTTACCTTCAACAGGATATGATCTAGATTATGCTGAATATCTTTAAGGGAATCGCGAACATGACGACGCGCCGGAGCTTGGTCAATGTCAACCTCCTTGAGTCGCCGGAGCTCCTCGTTGTCTACCTTCGCCGTCGTAGCCATCGATCTCTTCCTTTGCCACACTGATCTTCCCTTATCTACAAACCCTACGATTAAAAAATAAAAATTTCCTTTTTTTGTAAATCGGTCAAATTGATCCACGCAACAGTAAAAAGGTATCTTCTGGCAATACTCAATTGGGCAAATGCCCACCAATTAAAAAACTAATGTAAAACAGTAAAAATTCTCAGGTTTGTTAAACAAAATAAAATAAATCGAATGGATAGTTACGAATAATATTAGTGATGACAAATGCTACCGTGTAAAGGACTGAAAAGCGAGAGCTTTGCTGATCTCAGAGCCATAAAATCAATTTCTAACAAGAATCGTTCAAAAAAAATTGTATTTAAATAAATAAAAAGAAATCAATACTGTTATTTTCCACCTTTAATTTATTTATTTATGATGATAAAGAAGATGACACAAAAAAAAGGATAAAGATGACATGAAAGTGAGGCAGGAAATGTTTAAGAAATCATCAGAATTACGCAATTATTATTACATCAATTGAGTTCTCTGGTTCTTGTCTTCTCTTTGTCTTTAGTCTTTTACTAATGCTTTCATCGTGTGAACAATACTGTCGGGGGTATTATTTGTGTTGAGCTTAAGATTAGATCCTCAAAAGATTCTATGACGATCTGCTAACGGGTCTGTGTCGTTGGATAGACGACAATCCATTAATGAGATGCCACGTGTATACTCTAATGACTCACGTCACGTGCATTTAGGTGAGGAGTTAGCATGATTTCTGATTTTTTTCAAAGGAGTTGGAACTTGGAAAGCTCCTTACTTTTTTTCTATCTTTTTAATATGGGACTTTCATAAATTTTTTATAGTCTCCTGAAATTATTCTAAAATTATACAAAACTTCATGTTGGATTCAAATTTTATGTTTTATGAATTATGTATCGAAAAATGGGGATATGATCATATTATGTTGTGTATAAACAAAAAATAAGCTAAGTTATTCACTATATATCAACTAGTTTTGATAAAGTTCATACAACTTGACAATATATACACATTCATGGATTTCAGTTTTGTTGTTAGTGTGTTGGATTTTTGTTTAGTGTTTTGTGAAGCTTAGAGGTTGCTGATATGAGTAGCGTTATGATTTATTCTGTTTATTAAAAAAAAAAAATTCGACAGATTAACACTATAAAATAAGCTAAGATAACACCATTATTGTCACAGTTTGGTTGATATCAATTAGGTATACGGAAATCTCTAAGACTTCAGCTTTTGACTGGTTATATAGATCATAGATGTTGCATTGATCTGTACAAACTAGTTAATTTGGCTAGTTTCATTCGTGAACCATATTAATTTAGCCAGCTTACTTACTTTTTGCTCAATTGTTTGGCATATATAATCATCAGATAAATATTTATGCCAAAAGAAAGACAAACATCAGAGATATAAGTTAATCCGTAGATGTTACATCCGCATTGTCATCAGATTATATTGCAGTTTCTGAGTTAAAGACGAGTCTAGTGAAGCGTTATATATTTCATCAAATCATCGATTACATGCGAACGAGATGCCAATTAGTTTTTACTTTGCTGATTTCCCATCAACGTAAATCATAAGATGTCAAAGATTCCCAGAGGGTATTACTAAAGTTCTCTTTTTCTTCATTGTTTTTATATAATGATCTCATTTCATATATTCCAAATCATGTTTACCCAAATCATAAAGTATCTAAGCTAATTGTTAACGAAACTCCTGTCTGATATCAAACATATTTAAGATTCAACTACTGATTAAGCTTCACCTTTTTTTTTTTTTTAACCTGACCCTACACTGTGGCACCACACGGTATATGCCCTTATTATCTTTATTTCGGGAAAAATTATTAATCAATAGTAGTATAATATAAATTTCAAATAATGCCTTTTGGCTTTATTCTTCCTTTGTTCAATGCGTGAATGGCTCGCATGTCTCTCTTCCCACTGCCCTTTATTTTTCCAAAACATTTATCTATATTTTATTTGTTTTCTCTCGTTGTATTATTTTGTTTTTTTTTTACTTCACTTTTTTATTTATGGCTTTCTTTCATACATCTACTTTCGTTTATACTCAGACATCTATATGCCAAGTAGTGACCACGCTACTTGACGTTCGAGAGTACAATGAAAAGATGACTTTACCCATTGAGTTGTTCGAATCTCCAAAGTCAGTATAAGGAATTTAAAATAAAGTTAAGATCTGGCAAATTGTCTAAGCTACTAAACTACTATCATAGCCCACTATAACTAATGATGTTGAAATTTCATTAAAATCTAATATACATTGCAGTAACTCAGTAAGCATGGTTGATATTTACTTTTTCGTCAAATTAGTTTTTGAATTCAAGGTTTATGCAGTAAGTTGTATTTTAATGGTTTTGTCATTTGTGTAGTTCTCCTCCTATCAGATCGTTTTGAGATCAATATATATCAGGGTTATATGTTAAAAGAAAAAAAAAAATTCACGGTCTCATAATACTCTTATAGAAAAGAGTCAACTCTGATAGTATTACTGTCTACTGACGTGGACACGTTTTTTATGGAAGCCCCAGCAAGTTTTTTTCAAAGTAAATAAATAAAATAAACATCGGACCCGATAACCAACAGTTTCCGGTCAAAATGTCAAATTATTGCCACACAGGCATGCGTTTTAATATACTTTATTAGATAGAATACAAACAAATAAAATAAACAGATTTCTTAACAAAAAATTAAGATCTACTATAAAAAAATAGTATTATTAAAGTAAACTCTAGACACCCATGTGAATAATGTAGGCTATTCAGAATTTCAAACTATAGAAATCAAAAAGCATATGGGATTGATAACAAGTTTGTATATGGTTTCATTTTATGATTTAATTATGATTTAATGTTTCCATAGCTCCGAATCCGATGGATACTAAAAATAGAACCAATTTGTTACCATTTACTTCAAATTATATAAACTCTCAGTGTGAAAGTAAAATTTTAAGAAAAAATAAACTCTTGAGAATTCTGTTCAAGTTTTATTCAATATAATTCTAACTCTCTAGTTGTATATGAATACACCACCCATATAGCATCCATTTATTTCTTTTTAAGGACGGCATCGTTTCAATATTTCTGTTTCCTTGTATTAAAAACTGCATTTTTAATTTTTTTAAAATTTCCATTTTAAATTCATTAGTTTCGAATAAAATCTAAACAGTATATGCTTAAGCTATAAAATAAAATGTTATCCGATGCTAAAAATGTAAAAGCCATTATGTTGACCAGTAAATATAAAAAAAGATAATTAGTTAGAAGCCCAATTATAAATGCATGGAAATCGGAATATTAAGCTGTCCACAAATATCACTATTACGACGGCAAGAAAAAGCAAAACTTCCAAAATGCACTAAAACGACATCGTTCCATGTTGTCTTCAACCTCACCCACACTTTGTTCTCATCCTTTTATAAAATCCCTATTTCCTCTAACGATTTTTCGCCTCTCCCTCTGTCCCTCTCCTATCTTCTCCGTCATCGTGCTCTCTCCTCTCTCGGGGACTTTACTCAGGTATCTCTCTCTCTCCTTTTTCTCTTTTCCTTCTTTTCTCAAGCTCTCTCTGTGGGCGGATTTTACTAATCGCTGAAAGTTTTTCTTTTGTTCTGTGTTCATTCGCAATAATTTGTAATAGATAATAGATCTGTGTTTTTTGCTCGCGTCTTTTCTTTTTCGCTTTTCAGTCTCGGAAGTTTGGTTAAATTCGAGCAAAAAACTTCTGTTTTTTTTTAGTTTTTGAATTTTTTGGGTTTCTTACGAATTTTGAGTTTTGCTTGGATCTGGGTTTGCTCTTAGTCATATGGTCAAACGTCATCGCTGGCTTTATCCGAAATCGTGTTCCGTTTTCAAAAAAATCTTTTTATAGCCAATTTTTTTCTTCTGAATTTCGGATGATCTATTTTCTTCCCCTAAAGCTTTTCGTTGGATTTTGGTCATTAAATTAAAGAGAAAGAGCTGAAACCAGATCCGTCGCTTTGTTCGTTTCCTTTTATACCGACGAGTTTCTCGTCAAAGCTCGAAGGTCTCTCTGAGTTTGGAGAATTTCTCAGATCTTACAAAGTAAAGCCTAGTTTTTTGAAATCAGATACCGATATATCAAGTTTCTGTTCCCGTCTCCCGATTTCTCGCCCTCCTTGATTTGATCTGATCCTCTTTGTTTGAAACCGGATTTAGGCGTTCTCCTGTGGATCAAGGTGGTTTTTTTTTTTGGGGAAAAAGATGAATCATTGCAACCTTCAGCAGAACGCCTTGATGTCTCGCGAGGAGATGATGGGATTTGATCGCAAGGATCTCGTCGTTTGTCCTAAGCCTCGACGTGTTGGCTTACTCGCCAACAACGTCATTCGCCCTCTCAGATTACATATGAGGTATAAGATCAAAAGCATCCTCCTTTTTGTTCCTTCTCAGATTTTGCAGTGACATTTACCAGACTTTGTTCTCGATTTGTAGTCAAGCTGCAGCTGATTTGTGTGATTCTAAAGCCGGTGCAGAGCTTTTGGACATAATTCGTAGAAAGGTATGCTTCTCTTTTTTGTGGTTTCATTCTAGCTTTATAAGTTGTGATGAAAGGATCTTTCTTTGATTCACTTGATGTCCGTTTAGTTTTTATTCTAATTACAATCTTTTGATCTGCCTGAAAAGCTCCTATATATCATAAGTTCCAATGAGTCATCAATCTTTTTCGTTTGTTGTTATCTCGGCAGGAGGAAAGTGGAACACTAGGGCAAATACTATCATCATCTGTATCTTCATCGCCACCTTATTTTCCCGGTTCACCTCCAAGCAGAGCAATGAACCCATTAGCCCAAGATGCTCGCTTTCAAGATGAGAAACTCAACCCAGTCTCACCCAACTCTCCTTTCCTTCAGCCCAGTTCATCCACCGGGTTTCCATCTCCATCCCCATCATCATCATCATCATCGTCATCTCGTGGTTGCGTTAGAATGAAGTTTGGGCTCAAACCGCCTGCAGTTAGAGTAGAAGGATTCGATTGCTTGAACCGTGACCGCCAAAACTCAAGCATCCCTGCCATGGCTTAGTAGACAACTAAAAGGAAAAAAAAAGTGTACATAGAGATTCCGGAATCGTTCGTTCACCAATGCCTAACAGAGGAGGATTTGAATTACTACTACCATTTTTGAAGCTTATGAAATATGTAAAATCTCTTAGCGCTATTCATCTTTTCTTGTGAAAGAAAGAGAGAGGGAGAGGGAGAGGATGAAGGAGGAAGATGAAGATCAGTTACCGTCGCCGGCCACCGTTTTGTTTAACTTGTTATTCAGGTTAGTATTTGTATATAAATATGCAGTATTTTTAAAAAGAGTCGAATCGATGTATTCGTTTGGTGTTTCTCTGGGTCGGGCGGATCTTTATTATTGTTATATATAATCAAGGGGAAGATTAGAAGAGTCTGTAAAATTTTCTCTGGGATAAAGAAGTTTGGTTCTATCTTCTCTCTTTTGAATTTCATTGTAATATAGATGATCATTTCTGAGAATATCACCATTGTGTATAGTAACGTAATGTCTCTTTAACTTCTCTCTGTGATTCTCTCTCTCTCTCTTACCGAGTTTCTTGATACAAAGTCATGGTGATTATGCTCTTCCTTCGATTATACGGATGTGTTTATTGGTGCCACTTTCAAAATGAACATGTATCAAATCTCCAAATACGAGGCAGCTCTGACCATATTCTGGTCATCTTCCGAATTTGCTTTCTCAATGTCTTCATGTAGATCAGATTATTTATTTTTGCAAGATAAGCTCATCATATGCGTGCCAGAGGAGCCAAACCTTTCACTCGATGTATCATAAGAATCCCCTTAAATATTGTCTTCTAGGTCAAGCCTGTAAATGGTAATTGAGATGATATCCATGTGAATACCGAGATAGGACAAGTGAATATGGTATGGTTAATGGTTTCGTTGTCTGTATTAACCGAGAGTTCTTGACATAAAAAAAAGGGAATGTTTAGCTACCAAATGCTCTGTTTTATATCCGGGTGTTCATGTGGTCACTGGATTTCCTCATGATGGAAGAACCAATAGCCTGAAGAACGGACTTTGTTGTGTACTGCCAGACCTGCTTACTAAAACAGAAAGTCTATGAACTTGGAATTTATTTATGATATTCGCTAAACAAAACAATTATTAAAATATTGATCCCAACAAACCTTTTATTTACATGTGATATTAATATAATAAATTCCTAACAATGATAGTATGTAGGAGTATAAACTTCTACAGTGTTACACTGGTTTGATCAAATTTTTGATCAATTTAATTCAAAATACAATTGGATCAATTGAAAAATACTGTATTACACCAAGAAACAATTTGGAATACCAATTGAAAAATACTTTATTTACACTTATTATTTATGTAGTATATATATATGTATATATATTCAAATATAAAACTATGCTATAAATTTCCTTATGATGTAAAAAAAATTTACTGTCCAATACTACTGGATCCATTAGTTCGTTGTATTAAAAGTAGTTCTTAATTTTGTATGCTTCTAAAAAATACAAAGAAGAAAAACTCTGAAAAAAACAGACAGTTATTTCTCGCGCCAAGACAACTAACCGAACAAACACATCTGTTGAATCAATATAACTTACTTACTACAACGACCATTAACCGCCAAAATTTCTCTCCCTTCTCTCTCGCTACAAAAGCCTCTCTGAGCAAACCGAAGCAACTCTCTTCCCTCACTCATTGTTCTTTAACTCTCAAGCATCTTACGGTGCTTGAGAGACGTTTTTCTCTTTTCCTTTTTTGGTCTTATCCATACCAAAAAAAAGTAAGAGAGAAAGCAATTAGACGAAGAGTAAAAAACAAAACAAAAATGGCGGATAATAATCACAAAGACGCTGAAGATCAGTACTACGATCATTACTTGGACGAGGATCTCTTGAATGTTATCAACAGTCCTGATCGTAACTTAATGGACTTATCCTTCAACGAGGATCCACTTCCTCATCTTCCTCCTCTTTTTCCCCTACCCCCTCCCCCTCCTACACCAACCACCGAGGATATCAACGAAACCGAGTTGTTTCAAGAACTATCAATATCTATTTCTAACAGTGGTGATACAAGCGATATGCTTGTATCGCAGTTAGCCAATGAGGGTTCCCTGACATGGGAAATGATTGATGATGTAAATGGAAGCATCAACAATGATGTCTTAGGACAGATTGTTGATGACAATGCTACAAATGTCTGCGAAACAAGTCAACTTGAAGTAGGCACTCTAGTTTTTGGGGAACGCGGTACCAACTTTGAAAGTGGTGGTCCATCAACAATGCCTGTCCCGGCGGTTAGTAGGATCGAACCGGGTTCTCTTGTTTTGGGGGAATTCGGTCCGAATTTCGAAACCGGTGGTACATCAGCGACGCCTGTACCGGCGAGTAGGCCAACGGTATCTGAAGGAATCCTCGTATGCACTTGTTGCAGCCCGCTTCGAGTTTTAGTCCATTCTAATGGTATTTATCACTTATAACATGTTTTGTTCATTGAATGTTATATTGTTAACACTGATCGCCTTATTGAGTGGTGTTTGTATACAGGCGAGGAGACGATGAGACTTGATATTCATGGAGGGATTGGTTATTTCTGCCATGCGATCTTCGAGACTCAACGCGTTGATGGTTCTAACCAGCGTCAACATCATACATATCATTTGATTGATATGAGTATGGAGGACGTGAAGAAGTTTTTAGAAGATTATTGCGCGGAGATAGAAGCAGGAGGTTTTGTAATGACGCAAGACACTAATGAAGATATGTTTCAAGCGATGAATGCTTGCTACAGAAACAACCAGTTGTTTTTGTCATCATCGGGCATTAATGATCTTCCAATGTCTTTGGTTATGCCTGATAAATCGCTTGGTGATCCATCTATACCGGGGTATGTTAGTTTGAGAGATGATCCCCCAGTGAAGAAAGGAAAGCCCCGCAGACAAACCCGTCTCGCTGCGCAGGTTTTGTCTCTGATTTCTCAAAAAAATTTTTTTGTCATTTATCATCGTAGGATTCTTCTTAGGTTGAAAACATGTTAATTGCGCTACAAGAAACTCTATTTGGTTATCTAATTATATTGAGTTTTCAGTGACGGAACTTGTTAGTATATAGAAGATCTTAGAGGAGCCTTTTGTGCTATATTGAGAACAAGAGATAGTGTTTTTTTTTACTAGGGTTTGCATCTGGATTGAGATTATGTTTTCTTGTGGTTTAAGAAACCAATTTTGGTTGATTTAGTTAAGGACAGAGTCACTAACATTCGGTTTTGTGTTTCATCTGTATGTGCCGAGGACAAGAACAGAGGGAGCGTACTAAAAAAATGACACTGAAAGATGTCAGTATGCATTTTCATATTCCAATCGAACAAGCATCTCGAAAATTGAGTCTTTGTCCTACAGTTCTCAAGAAGATTTGCCGGAGGGGAGGTTTAAATCGCTGGCCACACCGCAGAGTAATGTTCTTGAACCTCCTCACTTTATAAATTTGGTTTTAGCTTTCTTATTTTTATTTTGTTTCTTCTGCTTATTTATCTGTTAAAACTGATTGTAGGTAAAGAGTCTTTTAAGTAAGATTAATTCACTGAAAGAAGTTTTACGCACGGCAACGGATCCTAGAGTTAGGATGCGGGCGGAACAAGAGCTTGCAAGACTAGAGAAAAGACTTAGTAAAATCTGCGGCGGCATTCTCAGGAACTACAAGTGATAAAGAAAAAGTTGGATATTTATCTTTATTTTCAGATAATAATAGACTGTAATAAGAAGCAGCTGCCTTGATGTGGTAGTTGGTTGCTTCAAAGTTCAAACCATTTGTGAAATAATTTATACAAGAATTTTTGGTTTGCTTTTTTTTTTGTCAAAATGATAGTTTTTTTTCTTTTACGTACTGATAAAATGGGAACGGTAGCATAGGCTTAAATTTAATGGATATAAAGGCCCAATAATTGACGTCAGGAAATTGGTCATTCGGTTACCAGATTAACAGGTCTTAAATTTGTATTGGATAATCAAGAGTAGAAGAGGAAGAGAAGAGTATTGAAGCGAGCGTATATTTTTACATTCGCGCTTCTTCTCCTCTTTAATCTCAACTCCGAAGTTTGTTACCGGCGGCGATTGATCGGAACAGACTTCGCCGGAGAATCGGTTTCTGGAACTGCAATCGATTTTCCTCGGTGAAAGAAGATGAAGGTCATCGTCAAAACTTTGAAGGGGGCTCGCTTCGCGATCGAAGTCAAACCAGAGGATTCGGTATGTAAAAATCTCATGATGTTTCTATGAACTGTCGAATTTTAAATCTGTTATGGAAGTTTAGTCACTGATTCTTGATATGGCGGTGAAATTTTGAGGTTTTCTCTGTTAAATCATTCTTTTCTTGATCTGTAAGTTAGTCACTGTGGGTGTTTTGTGTAGAAATGCATATAGAAAAAAGTCTCAAGTTAAATTTCGCGATACATGTTGTACGATGCGTCGATGTGAACTCTGATAAACGCGATAACGCGAAAACGCTTGTTCTGTTTTATTCTCGGTGGGTCTTTCTTGATCTTGGTCTTGTTCTGTTTTTTGTTTTCCAGTATCTGATCACTAAAAATATTAAAAACCGATATGATTCCGTAACTTGATGGGTTTTTATGCACTCCTCAATCTTTATAGTGCTGTTTTAATTAAGAATCTGCGAGTTATTTTATAATAATCACATGTGAGACTGCTAGTTTGTGTATCGTAGATGCAGAGAAGTTTGCAAACTGTGCAGTTTTCATGGATTGATGGTTATGTATCTCAGGTTGCTGATGTGAAGAAGAAAATAGAGACTGTGATGGGAGTTAGTGAATACCCTGCTGCACAACAGATGCTTATTCATAAAGGGAAAGTGCTTAAAGACGAAACAACAATGGAGGCTAACAACGTTGCTGATAAAAGCTGTATTGCCATTACGAAGGTGTGTTAAGGGCAGATTTGATACTGGAAGTTTTGAAGGTTTAGGGTTTATTAGCTTACTGATCTGTGCTCCGGGCGGGCTGATAATGCAGAGTAAACCTACATCTCTTGGAGCGTCTTCTGCATCTGTTGGCCGTAAAGCTCAGGTGAGTTGGTTGTACCTTTGTACGTATCATGTGTTTCTGAAGAGCAGCCTGTTGTTATGTTTCTTAACAATATTTAGTTTTGTGTTTCTTTTAATCTGTAATTGGAACGACTGATAATTACTGTTAAAAAAGGGCATCCCGGAGCAGACTCAAGAACCTGCAGCTCCTCCAGCAGGAGACCCAAATGGGTTTTATTATTTGCCGCAGGTAAATAACACTTTTTGATCGTAAAAACTAGATGTGTGAGTGTGTGTGGCTAACAAAAAGTCTTTTTCATAGGGCCTGCCAAATAATGGGTCACTTGAATTCTTGCGCCACACGAAACAGGTATTGAGCTGTTTCCAGTTTATCTTACTTGGAAAAGGAAAAGTTTTTAAGAGAGAGTAATTTGGTGGAGGTTGAAATTTAACTGTTTCGTATGGTGTGTCAATTAGTTCCAGATTCTTCGACCTCTGGTGCAGTTTGACCGTAGTGTCATAAAGGTAAAACCAAAAAATGCAACAGTAAACAAAACATGCAAAGGATTCTTGAGAGATTTTTTTTTTTGTTTTTTTTTTTGGGGGGCTAATGACGAGTTTGGCTGCAGGGAATTCTAGAGGAGATAGAGAAAGAGAACCCGCCTCTGGCTCGGATGATTCGAGAGAACAGAGCCGACTTCTTACGCTTAATAAATGGGGAACCACTTGAAGAAGGAAGAGCAAGGTAAAAACTGTGTATTGGTTTGTGATTTGAGAGACTGAGAAAAAGTAAAGATTTTTTGGTTAACAAGATTTGTGGATTTTCAGTGGCAACCAAATGGTGCAGCCTCAGGAAATCCAAGAGATCCTCTTACACTTTCAAAACAACGAACCCAATGAAGGAGGAGACGGGTAGAGAATTTTACCATAATTAAAATGGTGTGATGTGATTGGGAAATGAAGCTTTCTTTTGGTTTAACTTTTTGTGGATATTTTTGTTGTTGTTGTTGTATGATTCAGTGGCAAGCAAATGGAACAGTCTGAGGAAAGGGAAGTCAAAGTTACAGCTGAGGAGTATGAATCAATCGAACGGGTCTGTCTCTGTTTCTTTGTTTTTTTTTAAAACAATTCAACAATTCATTTGGATTCGTTAATCTATCCATAAATTTGTACAACATGAAGTTTTCATAGTATTGTGTGTTTTGCTTAAAACAGCTTCAAGTATATAATATTCAAGACAAAACAGAGTCTGAGGAAATGGAAGTCAAAGTTACAGCTGAGGAGTATGAAATAATCGAACGGGTCTGTCTCTGTTTCTTTGTTTTCTTAAAACAATTCAACAATTCATTTGGATTCGTTACTCTACTCTATTCATAAATTTGTTTACTACATGAAGTTTTCATAGTATTGTGTGTGTTTGCTTTAAAAAAAGCTGGAAGCATTGGGGTTCGAGAGAGGTGAAGCGGCGGTTGCGTTCTTCGTCTGCAACAAGAACGAAGACTTGGCTGCAAACCATCTTCTCGATGATCACATCCACGACTTTCAAGACAAAACAGAGTCTGGGGAATGGGAAGTCACAGCTGAGGAGTATGAATCAATCGAGCGGGTCTGTCTCTGTTTCTTTGTTTCTAAGAAAATTTAACCATGCATTCATTTGGATTCGTTACTCTAAAGTATTGTGTGTTTTGCCTAAAACAGCTGGAAGCATTGGGGTTCGAGAGAGGTGAAGTGGTGGTTGCGTTCTTCGCCTGCAACAAGGACGAAGACTTGGCTGCAAACTATCTTCTCGATCATCACATCCACGACTTTCAAGACTAAACCAAACTCTCTCATTTTCTCTCTTTAGGTTTCCCTTCCTTTGTTTGGGGTCGTAGTTACTTAGTGGTTATATGTACTTTATTCTTATCGAGCGAGAGTCATCTCTTGTTCTGGTTTCTTTTGCTGTTTTCTTACACCGTTGCGGTGATTGATGTGTATAATGAAATATATTACCTACTATAATCATTTCCAAAAACACTATAATCATTTCCAATGAAATGGAAGAGTTATAAAGCACTATAATCATACATGTTTTTTCCGTAACAACTAACTAGACAGACCATATATTATTTATCCTGCTATAAAAAGTTTAAGAAAAAAAATTAGCATTTTCTGAATGTATGTTTTCCAATGAAATAAACTACATTCTGTTTTTAACAATCTACAGTTTCCACACACCTTTTGTGTGTTTGTTTATTTGGGAAAACCTCTCTCTACTACGCTTAAGATGGGAGAAAGAATAAGAGAAGTAAATATTCTTTGATATGATAAATCCATTTGGTGCCTTCAAAGAGAATATAAGAAAAGCTCGAATATTACGAAGATAAACTAGACAAAATATAACTTAATTCTCAAAAAGATTTTTCACACGGTTTAGATTGATTCCTTCAGCTACCAAGGGAAACAGGTTCAAGGCTAAAACCCAACACTCATATTGTCGTTTTTCTTTTAGTCAAATTCTAACTCATATTACAGTTGAGTTTATATTGTACGTAAATATTAATATTTTATTATTAGAAACAAGCATGATGATAAGTGACTATAGAGTGGACAATATCACTTATCGTAACCTGTAAGTTGTAAGCTTAATTGCTAAAATGTGACAAATCACAGTGTTAAAATAAATCAATAACAAAAAATATATATATATATAGAATATTCGAGGGGAGGAATATATCATAAGAATTTTTGAAGATTTGTGAATTGTACTTGCCCATAGAATCTTTGCCGACTTTATGTTCTTCTGACTTCTCTACTTCTGTTTAGTTCTCCGCCTTTACAAAAAGAAGAAAACGAAACTAAAGACTTCCATAATGTTGTTATTATGCATGCATATAAGTTATATGATATCACTAACTTAATTTTCATTTTTGAGAATTTGATGTATGAAGGATGAGCCGGAGACAATTTTTTTTTGTTTTTCTGTCCAATATAATGCATGATGCCCGCCTAGTAAAAATATTTATATCTAGTCTAAAGTCCTTTGAGAAGATAAGTAGAAAAACAATATTTTCAAAGAAAGGAAAGAAGAGTTAGTTACACTTTGAGAGTGATATATTTTCTGTTTTATACCCATTTGTCTTTTGTTTATTGGATAATTATGTAGATAAAATATATGAACAGGAATACAGAGTTGTTCGAGTAGGACAAACAACAATCTGAGTTCCACTTTGTAATGATACAAATAAGAAGCGATGGAACAACACGAATTGCCTGGGATCAAATCAACTGAAACTCAACTTACAATCACTTAACTATTCATAATATCACGAGTGGCAATTATATTATTCTTTTAGGATAACTCTTCAATGTTTTCATGTAAGCATAATTTATTTAACGGTAATATTCCTTTGAATATGAAAATTTTCCACGTGAAATTCTGTATAGTTCCTTTTCGCAACGTGATTCTTTTCACACGTTAATTATGATATATGATATTCAATCCTGATTTTGTATCATGTTTGTTTAGTCATGCTTTCCTAAGATTGGGATTAGTAATTAATGAATGATCAAATTCTGATATGATGTTTATTGATTTCCATATTTTGAATATGATGTTCTTACAGAAACATATATTTAATTTTAATCTATTTAAAATTCAAAGATTCAATTTGTATTTGTTCTACCAAAACTTCATACTGTAGTATATATATGATCGGATTAGTTCAATTTATATAAGCATCTCAAAGTATATGGACGCAAGTAAAAAAAAAAGGCTGTTTAGATCGTGAGTCTGTATTAGTTACATTATTATAAAACAAACTTTCAACTAAAGATTCATAGTTGACCACAAACAAAAAAAAAAAACTAGAGAGTCGTGGTGTAATATGACGGATTTGGAATGGTGAAGATTCACCCACTTGATCTACATCATGGATCCATTCCCTTATTCTCATCTATAGAATTTACTATAGTTGCTAGAACTGACAATAAACCCCGGTCTTTCACAAGTATTGTATAGTAAATCAGTTTGAATTTCCAATCGAAATTCAATAGACTTTTTTTTTTTGTTTAAAAGGTTGCTTTTTCGTATTTTCCTAGATGATAGCATCTTAGATATATATATATATATATATATATATATATATTTTATTTTCGACAGCATCTTAAATAAATATACAATTTTTTCTATATATATATAGAACTTGAATGAATCTCATCTCAGTGCATCTCACTCGACCAACAACACTACACTTCTATAGCCAAAAAAAAAAACAATGGCAGCCATTTCCTTCTCTCTCAACCACCAATCCTCCGACAACCGCCGTGGTGGATCTCACCACCACCACCGTCACGGCCCCGTGGTGGAAGAAATCGAAGGACTCATCAGAGTTTTCAACGACGGTTGCGTCGAGAGACCTCCCATAGTCCCCACCGTGTCACCCACCGTTCATCCATCTGCTAAAGTCACAGCCTTTGACATCAAACTGTGCAACGACACGTGGACGCGTGTCTACATCCCCGACGTCGCTGCATCCTCACCGTCCTTTACTCTCCCTCTCCTCGTTTACTTCCACGGCGGTGGATTCTGCGTTGGCTCAGCTTCTTGGAGTTGCTACCACGACTTCTTGACTAGCCTCGCCGTTAAAGCTCGTTGCGTCGTCGTTTCGGTAGATTACCGTCTAGCTCCTGAACACCGTCTCCCGGCGGCGTACGACGACGGAGTCAGCGTCGTCTCGTGGGTACTCAAGCAACATCATGTGTCTAACGGAGGATATTCTTCTTGGGTGAGTAAATGTAACCTCTCAAACGTTTTCTTGGCCGGAGATAGCGCCGGAGCCAACATAGCTTACCAAGTCGCCGTTAGAATAACCGCCAGTGGCAAATCCGTAAATAATCTAAACCTCAAGGGCGTTATTCTAATCCACCCTTTCTTCGGCGGGGAATCAAGAACGTCCTCGGAGAAAAAGCAACAACAACACTCCAAGTCATCGGCTTTGACTCTCTCCGCTTCGGATACGTATTGGCGACTGGCTCTTCCACGTGGCGCGAGTAGAGACCATCCTTGGTGTAACCCTCTGGTCAGCTCATCGGTCGGGTTTCTCCGGGAAGCTAGGTTACCGGCGACGATGGTGTTTATGGCGGAGTTTGATATACTAAAAGATAGGAACTTGGAGATGTGTAGAGTGATGAGAAGCCTTGGAAAGAGAGTTGAAGGTATTGTTCATGGAGGAGTTGGTCACGCTTTTCATATTCTCGACAACTCTTTGGTGTCACGTGATCGAATCCACGACATGATGTGTCGTCTTCGCAACTTCATACATCCATGATCATAATAATTCCTCTCAAGCATTTTGGAACGAATCAGTTATGACATTAAAGTATTATGTTGCTTTTCTGGTGTTCTCAAATGAATATGTGTGCTTACTGATTACTATAAACTAGTAACGATTCCTCTGGTTGTATTTGGATCAGTTATGATATATAAATTATATAAACTTGTATTTTACGATCATTTATCCAATGTTAACAATTGCATTTTTTTTCTTCTTCTTGTTGATGTCATGATATTGATATTGAGAAATTTAGATGTATATATCGCTGTATTTTTGTTTGTCGTCTACTGTTGTAGTTGTGTGTTTCTATAAAAGGGGTTTAGAATCTACCTTTTGTTTTCTTACACTTCAATAATTTTCTTATAGTTGACTTTGGTAAATTTGCCCCCGTGACAGAGACCCATACAACTAGAGATTTTTTGTTTGGGACAGAAAAAAGTCTTATGTAAAACCGATCCAATTAAGATTACTCAGTCTAAGCTGTATAAAGTTCACAGACTAATATTAATCTATGTAACTTATATATGTCAGCTATCTACTTTTATTAGATTGTCAACTACGTATCTTTCATTTTTTTTTTGCTTACTAAAAGAAAGAAAATCATGAAATCAAGTCGTATCTTTCAATATATTCAATACTTATAAATTTGTAGGCATCGTTTAGATTTTTTTTTTGGTCAATTTGTAAGTGAATCCATGTTATTAGGTTTGTGTGAATAATTTCACACGAATATCATTTTGGGATCGAGTCAAAAAGAGGAGGTGAGTGACTCAATTAATGTATGGTCCTAGGGTCCCAAGTGCACAAACGAAGAGGATTTTTATTCTTTCTCCTTCTTTCTTACTTTTTGACGAGGCTTGTTCATATAAAATGTTCGGTACGAATTACGATTGATACAGAAAATAAGAAAAAGTTGATGTCAAGATCAGTAAGTTAAAGTTGTTACGTGTATACCGACCTAACTTTAATCTTTGTCTCTCTTCGGCCATATTATATAGACTTTGCTTGAGGAGTGAGTCCAATAATCAAAATAATTAATTTCTGGTAATTAATTTTCTGCTTTGGGATTATAGTAATAATAAAATTGTAAATTGGTGTATTTGTTGGGGGCGGGGAATTTCTGAATATTTTGTTTTGTCAAATTTGAAATTTTTTTTAACAAAATAGTATATTTGGCTAAGAGCGTAACAAATAGTATATTGAGGGTAAAATTTGTAATTTACGTTAAACCAAAGTCTCCACTCTCGGTGAGAGTATCTTCTTCCTCAATTCCTTCTTCATCAAAATTTTAAAACCCAGAAGAAGAAAGCCCTAAAAGTTTTCTCTCCCTATCTCTCACGCTCTCTCAGTAGCTCACTCTACAGCTCTTCTCTTCGAAAATGTCTGTGCGAGTTTTAAATCCCAATGCCGAGGTTCTCAACAAATCGGCGGCGCTTCATATGACCATCAACGCTGCCAAGGGTTTGCAGGATGTACTCAAGTCGAATCTCGGTCCTAAGGGAACCATCAAGATGTACTGTCTCCTTTGATTTCTTTTTTCTTATTGTAATCTACGTGTATACTCTTCCCTATCTCCACTTTCCCGATGTTTTTGTTGTTCACTCTCCGATTTATCGCTCACTCGATGTAGGCTTGTTGGTGGGTCGGGAGATATTAAGCTTACCAAGGATGGGAACACGCTATTGAAGGAAATGGTATGTTTGATAAAAAAAAATTAAGCTAGATCCTATTGATCTGTATGAATCGAGCTCTGTTTTGCCTTTTTTAGTGGTGAATGGTGCTCATAAGTCTGTGACTTATCATGCTGTATTAGATTATGGGGTAATGCTTCACCTCGGAGGATTTGGTTTGAAATTGAATGTGTTATGGTTCAGAGAGCTTGGCATGATTTGATTGATTACATGTAACCATGTCTCTGCGGGAAGGATTAGGTTGGAAAAAATTAAATTTTAGTGTTCGTTTTCACATGATCAATGCGTGTTTCTGATTAGGTAAAAGTGTTTGTCAGCATTGTGATAGAGAAGAGAGAAAAAGCCTCAAGATAATTCCGGATAATCAACTGTCTAATATGGGCTACTGCTATTGATTTGGTGATGCTTACATGCTCACTTCTTATCTGTTGCAGCAAATTCAGAACCCAACAGCCATTATGATTGCGAGGACAGCTGTTGCACAGGATGACATAAGTGGTGATGGTACTACTTCCACTGTTATCTTCATTGGTGAGCTCATGAAACAGTCCGAGCGCTGCATTGATGAAGGTGAGTCGCTACGTTAGCTGAAAAAGGCACCATAGTTCGTTAGTTTTATACTTTTATCTTTCACTGTGCTTGTTTTACATTCTCATTTTATATTTGATGTTTAACCTGTAACTGTAAACCTACAGTTTATCTTTAGCGACTTTACTTTGCCAAGTTTTGTTTAGATTGAATCCAGACAAGTTACTACTGGTCTCACTACAAACCGGCAAATAATAGCATAGTGAGAAAAGTCCTAACGAAGGATTATACGTGTATCAGGAATGCATCCACGTGTCTTAGTTGATGGTTTTGAGATTGCTAAGAGAGCTACTCTTCAATTTCTTGAGAACTTTAAGACCCCTGTGGTTATGGGTGATGAAGCTGATAAAGAGATCCTAAAAATGGTAGCGAGAACTACACTTAGAACCAAGGTATTCTTGATTTAATGATTTATCTATTTTTTCATTTTTATTGATTCTTCTTTTCGCTTTCTAACCCGATTTACTCTTGTGGCTTGTGTAGCTGTACGAAGGCTTGGCTGATCAACTGACTGACATTGTCGTTAATTCTGTGAGTTAATCAATCCCTAAGAAAATCTTACTAATGCTTTTCGTTTACTTTTCCACACCGATTAGAACTCATCTATTCGCGAATATTGGTTTTCAAGCCTGTTTATCTTCTAACCATACATAACAGGTCCTCTGCATCCGGAAGCCTGAGGAAGGTATTGATCTTTTTATGGTGGAGATAATGCACATGCGTCACAAATTCGACGTTGACACACGATTGGTACGTCTTTGACTTTTGAGGTTTACCGTATCATTCTTCGCTCGAAATGTTATCATAGTTTTGGAATTTTAAAATACTTGCTTGTATGGAATCATTCATATAATTTTGCTGGTTGATATAGGTTGAGGGGCTTGTTCTAGATCATGGTTCGAGGCACCCTGATATGAAACGACGCGCAGAGAATTGCCACATCTTAACTTGTAATGTGTCGCTGGAGTATGAGAAGAGGTGTGTAATATAATTCTTTGGTCAATTCAGTGAAGAGAATTAAGAGCCTAGATGTTGCTGGGGTGATGTAGACTAATATTTCTATTCATCTATCAGCGAAATTAATGCAGGGTTTTTCTACTCTAATGCGGAGCAGAGAGAAGCCATGGTTATTGCCGAGAGGCGATCTGTTGATGAAAGAGTTCAGAAAATTATCGATCTGAAGAACAAGGTGGGTTTGAGACCATTATCCGAGCCGTTTTTTTTGAAATTCTGTAAAAGTTAGTAATGCTTTCTTTTCTTGTGCAGGTGTGTGCTGGTAATGATAACAACTTTGTTATCATAAACCAAAAGGGTATTGACCCACCGTCATTGGATCTTCTTGCTAGAGAAGGGGTAAGCCATAACACACTAATGTTACAAATCGCTATAAAATTTTTATTCCGATGGTTAGGAAAAAATAAGAAAGATGTTACAGAAGAATGTTCCTTGGATACATAATAGACCATGGAAACTATTGGCAGAAATGGTTTTTAGTCGCTTCATTCAGACCTAATTTCTCTTGTTTAGAGGCTGTTGAATCGAATTACCTTTCCTCATGTCTCCAGATTATTGCCCTTAGAAGAGCAAAGAGGAGGAACATGGAACGTTTAGTTTTGGCCTGTGGTGGAGAAGCTGTGAATTCTGTTGACGACTTGACCCCCGAGTCGCTTGGATGGGCTGGACTTGTTTATGAACACGTTCTTGGGGAGGAAAAGTACACCTTTGTGGAGCAAGTGAAGAATCCTTATTCATGTACCATCCTCATAAAAGGTATGTGGCCAACTTATATTCTCTTCATTAAGTTTTGAAGGTTCATTTATTCTTGTATTCACTTTGGTGCTCATTCATGATTTGTTCGTTTTCTAGGGCCTAATGACCACACCATTGCTCAAATTAAGGACGCCGTTCGTGATGGTCTAAGATCGGTCAAGAACACCATAGAAGACGAGTGTGTTGTGTTAGTAAGTACCTTACTACCTGTTTCTTGCTTTCTGTTTCTCTGCAATGTCAAAGAGATTGTTAATTCATGACTAAAACCATGGTGTAAAGTAAGCATATAGACCTATTGTATGATTTTTCCGTTATGTTTATGCACGGTTGCATCTTTATATAGGGAGCAGGAGCTTTTGAAGTTGCAGCAAGACAACACTTACTCAATGAAGTCAAGAAAACCGTTCAAGGGGTAAATTAAAATCATCAGTTCATCACACATACTCTAATGTTTGCAACATTACTAAATGCACCTCGAATATTCTAGATCACTAATACTATATTCAATGTTTGCAGCGTGCCCAACTTGGCGTTGAAGCTTTTGCAAATGCCCTTCTTGTGGTGCCTAAGACACTTGCAGAAAACGCAGGTCTTGACACCCAAGACGTGATCATTTCTCTTACTGTATGTATTCCGATCTCTTATCATCTTTCTCAAACCGAAATCAACTGTGTAAAGAACGAACATGAAATTGCTCATTGTGATGCGCTTATGCAGAGCGAGCATGACAAAGGAAATGTCGTGGGACTGAACCTTCAGGACGGTGAACCAATTGACCCGCAGCTCGCTGGCATTTTTGACAACTACTCGGTGAAACGCCAACTTATCAATTCAGGGTAATGTCCGATTTTAATAAAGGTTGCAAGTTTTGGTTCAAGCCATTTTAGTAACGGCTACGTTTTGTGTTGCAGTCCAGTGATTGCGTCGCAGTTGCTTTTGGTAGACGAAGTGATTCGTGCTGGAAGAAATATGAGGAAGCCTACTGCTTGAAGCCGTTTGCTTTTTAATTACTTTCTTCGTTCTAACCATCTCAAGTTTTTGGCTGCTATCATGAAAGTTGTGTGAAACCTATGTTTTTGGTAATGAGAAACATCTTTGAATCTGATCTCTAGATTTGGTGAATTTTGACAAACTGAGAAAAAATGAAAATACAAAAACTTTTCTTATAGTAAATAACCTTTATTGAAGAATGGCCATATAGGTTATAGAATGATCTACTAGTGCATAAAGAACAAGAAACAAAGCGACGACGTTATACTCAAATCTGTTGTCCGACAAAAAATTACATGGTCGACACTGAGACTTTACCCTCTTCTTGAAGCATGTACTCTCTCTTCATTTCCTCCAAGACATTGTCATTGGTGCTGCAGAATCAACCAAAAAAACTTCATGATCAGAAGACATTAAAGCATCGGCCTGACCACTGAGATTTTTGTCAGGAAGTCACAAAGAAAGAACTTGTGCTGTGCTACAACCTTTAAACAACATTAGAGAACATCTCTCTTTTCTTTCCACAAACACGAATACAGTAACATAGACTAAACCTCTTTCACAAGTTTATATAACACCCACGAAAACAAGATGACACAAGAAAATAAAAATGTGATCTTTAATGGAAAGAGCAGCAGTAAAAGGTGAGCTTACAATTGATGGAGGCAAGTGTTGAGCTCTTTAGCTTGCTTACGACAAGTCCATACCACAGAAAACGTTCTTCCCGTCGCGCATTCAGCATACTTTGAGACGTACTGATCACATTCGTTTAATGCCTTTGCCTTCATCTTGCTACGCAGCGCTATTAATAAACAGATACACAACCAATCACCATTAGACTTCAATCAAATCTATGTGCTCAATTCAGAGATAATCAATTTAAGCTAAGCGATTAAACCAGTTTCAGATGAAGAAAGGGGGTTAATTCCAAGGGTTTATGGAAACCTAAGTATCTCCACTCCATGAGAGGCAAACTAGTCTGAAAATCGATAACTTTCGAGATTAGTGAGCTCAATTCATATACAAGTGGTTGAGAGATCGATAACAAAACCAGGCTTAATAGAGTATCGACTGGGTTTCTATGGTTTATCCCATTTTCGAGGCAAATCAAAGACACTATTTAGGGGTTTAGAACATAGCAGGAGGAAGAAGTCAAGACATTGTTGATTTACCTTCTTCGACCTTCTTCTTCACGTGATTCTCACGAGCTTTCTCCACATAGCTCCCCATTGACGGACGTTCGAGCTTTTCCGGCCTTCTCCGATCGAATCGAATCGATCAAGCGGGTAAAAGACTGAAATGGTTCAGGGCGAAGGGTAAATCCGTAAATTATGAGAGAAACTTACCTTGTATTGCTAATATACCCCCCTGCATTTTCATTTATTTTGATAAATAACCTTTTTATTACACCTGACCCTATAATTTATGATTCGTTAGATTTCACCCACTTTAGACTAAAAGAAATAAGTCATTTGACGGTCAACAAGTAACACGTGTTTGACATTTATTGGGGCATACGTTTTTTTTCTCCTCGCTCTCTCTTCCGATTTAATGTTCACGCCCGTCTCCTCAATTTCTCACTCTCCTCAAACTTCGCGTCTCTTGCTTCGAATTCGAAATCCCTAATTCCAAAATCCCCAGGTACGGATCTGATCTCGCTTGCTCATACTTCGACGATGTTTCTTCTCTACTGATTGTTGATTTTTTGTTTTTTGAAAAATGTTCTTCCTGTTATTATGTTGCTTTTCGCGTTTTGGTTGTCACATCGAGATCTGTTGGATTCATAGTTGTTTCTTTCTGTCGATTTATACTCGTAATTTCCAGTACAGTTTCTGTGTGAGGATAGATCTGGCTATGCGCTACCTGTGAAATGTTGTAGTGCGAGGATTGATTTTTTAGAGATGATTGTTATGCAATGCTAGTTTTGCAACATTTTTGTTGTCAAGGAGTTTTAGGGATTGTTCTTGATGTCGCTAGGCTTTTAGGTTCCTGAACTTTGTTATAGCTACTCGGATCTTATTTGTTTTTTTTGGCTGGAACAGGTTTTAGAAAGAGTATTGCAAAGATGTCTTCTGATTCGTCTCGGGAAGAGAATGTGTACATGGCCAAGTTGGCCGAGCAGGCTGAGCGTTATGAGGAAATGGTTGAGTTCATGGAGAAAGTTGCAAAGACAGTCGATACTGCGGAGCTTACTGTCGAAGAGAGGAACCTCTTGTCTGTTGCCTACAAGAACGTGATTGGTGCTAGGAGGGCTTCGTGGAGAATCATCTCCTCCATTGAGCAGAAGGAAGAAAGCAGGGGAAACAACGATCACGTCTCGATTATCAAGGACTACAGAGGGAAGATTGAAACTGAGCTCAGCAAGATTTGCGATGGCATTTTGAACCTGCTCGAGTCTCACCTTGTTCCTACTGCATCCTTGGCTGAGTCCAAAGTTTTCTACCTCAAAATGAAGGGAGACTATCACCGCTACCTCGCCGAGTTCAAGACTGGAGCTGAGAGGAAAGAAGCTGCTGAGAGCACTCTTTTGGCGTACAAGTCAGCTCAGGTTATCATTTGTTGCTTTTTTTGTCTCTCTTGCTCTTAACACATAGAAGGCTAATTTGACTCATGATTCTGGTGTTGTCCTTTTTGATGTAGGATATTGCTCTTGCTGATCTTCCTCCCACTCACCCAATCAGGCTGGGGCTTGCTCTTAACTTCTCTGTTTTCTACTATGAGATTCTCAACTCATCTGATCGTGCTTGTAACCTCGCAAAACAGGTCTGCGTTACTTTCTCATTTGGTATATGTTAGCTTTTCCTGTCGATCAAAACTGTGCATTTGTATTCATATTGTGTCATAAACGTCATCATGCTGTTAACTTGTTACATTTTCCTGAGGGATAATTTCCATATGCTCTAGTAATGGCCTGCAGATTGCTTTATTATCGTGTTTGATAGATAGATAGTGTAGTTAACTATGATGGTGGTACGAATTGGGAAAGTAGAGCCTGCGAATGTTCTCATATACATTAAATGAAATTGGAACAACCTTCACATTCTGGTTCTAGTTTTTGATTAAATTAACTTTGGTTATGAAATGTCATGATGGTAGGCTTTTGATGAGGCAATCTCTGAGCTAGACACATTGGGAGAGGAATCATACAAGGACAGTACATTGATCATGCAGCTTCTCCGTGACAATCTCACCCTCTGGACTTCTGACCTCAATGTACTGGTCACTCCTTGCACTCTTGATTGTTAGCAATCTCTTAAATGATTAGCAAATTAATAAGATTGTTGTTGATGTTTGCATAACGCTTGTGGTTTTATCTTACCTCCAGGACGAAGCTGGTGATGATATCAAGGAAGCCTCGAAAGAGGTGCAGAAAGGTGACGAACAAGCCCAACCACCGCCGTCGCAGTGATGAAACCATGTCCATGGAATGAATTACAAAGAAATCGTATTGTTTAGTTCTGTGTGTTTTCACGTAAACCCAAAAAAAAAAATCTCGTAGTTTCTTTAAACGTGGGGTTTGTAAAGATATTCAAGTCACATTGGTTTAAAATTTGGATAATCGAAATTGTTGAGTATCAACTTGTTTGTGGCTATTGTCGATGTTGACCCCCTTAAAAATGTTTTGATTAAAATAGTTCCTTGCAAACCGAAATGTGAAGATCATAGATAGTCAAGATCAGGACTCAGTCTACTTAACAAAAATGAATCCAAACACATACACGACAATATGTATTAGGTGTACGCTAATTCCATTTTTGATTTAGAAAAAATGAATGCAAACACAAAAACAAATAAAGTGTACTGTTTATTTTCATTTCGGTTTAGCTCATTAATTAGTCCAAAATATGAAAAGAAAATGTACCTAATGACACGACACAGACTCACATCCCTCGAATTGAATCCCACCGTGTGCCCTGCTTTTTGTTGTCTTTCCACTCACTTTCTTTCTTTTATATTCTCTCATTGTCTCTCTCGTTTTCGTCTCCATGGCTTCAGCTACTTCCGTCATAGCTTGGTCTGTTCTCTTCCTCAAAGTCTAACCTTATTGTGTTCTCTCCATTGCTGTTTCTCAATTGTGCTTATTTCTCTTTCTTTTGATTTTTGACCAGGGGCTCTGGAGAAGATGGGCAACTTGGACTTGGAACAGATGAAGATAAGGAATGGGCTTCCGTCGTCGAGGCTCTTGAACCTTTTAGCGTTCGCTCCGTCGTCGGAGGCAGCCGCAATTCCCTCGCCATTTGCGATGATGGCAAGGTATCTAAACCGATTCACTTTCTTCTCGGGTTTTCATCCTTGTTGTTTGTCCTTTGGTGGGTTTTGCTCAGAACTTGCTAAAGTTCAATGCTTTGTGTTGATCTGCGGTTTGATTTTTTAGTTGGCTTTGGCGTTGGTGCCTCAAGACTTTCTTAGGTCGCTTACTGAGAAATAAGGTTTTTGAGGTTTGGATGACCAATCAAGAGGGTTCTAAAGTTCGTCTTTATGGTTTTTTTCACCAATAAGCTTTATCTCTAATCTATTTCTGAATCTCATTTGAAATCCAACTAAAGAGGCATACAAATAAAACCAACATGTTTGAGCTGTTCTTGAACAGATAGTCAGTCCCTGCTTCTGTTCCCATGGAGTAGTTTATGGTTGGTTTGGATTATAGAAGCAAAATTTGATTCCTGGCACTGTCTGAAAGATAATCAAAGATGCATCTTTGAAGAAGAAACTTATGTTTTGACAATATTTTAAATGGTGTCTCAGCTGTTTACATGGGGTTGGAATCAAAGGGGTACACTAGGACACCCAGCAGAGACAAAAACAGAAAGCATCCCTAGTCTAGTTGAGTCTCTTGCCAATGTCAAGATTGTTCAGGTACAAAATAATATGATTATAAAGTTTTTTCTTTTCTTTTATACTATCCCCTTGTCGTGGTTTGCTCTGAATGCGGTTTCTTTGATGGATCATAGGCTGCTATTGGTGGTTGGCATTGTTTAGCTGTTGATGATCAAGGCCGAGCATATGCTTGGGGTATGCACTTCCCTCTCAGCTTCTATCTTTTGATTGTGACCTTAAAGATTTGACATTTGTTTATCTGCACCTTTTTGTTATGAAATCTACTTAGGGGGAAATGAATATGGTCAGTGTGGTGAAGAGCCTTCCAAAGATGAGACAGGTAGGCCTGTGCGGAGGGATATTGTGATCCCTAAGCGTTGTGCCCCAAAACTTACAGTCCGACAGGTAAACTATGAAGTTACCCTCTCTGCATTTGCCTCAATCTTCTTGCTGATTTTTTTTCCGTCTAAACCGTCTTTTCTCGGGTTTCTGTGGTTAAAATGATAGGTAGCTGCAGGGGGTACTCACTCTGTGGTTTTAACCCGTGAAGGTTATGTATGGACTTGGGGTCAACCGTGGCCTCCCGGTGACATGTATTAAACGATTTTTCCTCTCATTTATCGATGTTACATTTGCATTTTGTTGTCTGCTGTTACTAAATGTGAGGTTTTCTGTTAATCCATTCAATCGCAGAAAACAGATATCTGTTCCTGTAAGAGTTCAGGGTCTTGAAAACGTTCGCCTGATTGCTGTTGGAGCATTTCATAATTTGGCTCTGAAAGAAGATGGGACTTTGTGGGCTTGGGGTAATAATGAATATGGACAACTTGGAACCGGAGATACACAACCAAGGTCTCATCCTATTCCAGTACAAGGCTTCGATGATCTCACTTTGGTATGTGGTCTAAAATTTTGAGTGTTAAAGCATTCATATGGAAACCGATGACTTCTGATGCTTAATCTAACTAGGCTTATGTTAAAGCCAAATGTGTACGATAGAAGCTTAACAATTTCCCTCCTCGTTAAACGCATGTGTTAGGTTGATATCGCTGCAGGTGGATGGCATTCAACAGCTTTAACCGACGAAGGAGAGGTATCAGAATTCATATAGTCTCCTATTACTCTAAAGTCTCACTTTTATTTTATCTTCAGTTGGATCTTTGTTCTTGGTCAAGCCTTTGCTGGGTTTTTTCTAAGCTTGATGTAGATCTTAACTGTAGATGTTGTGATTTGGTTGTATCCAATATTAGGTGTATGGTTGGGGAAGAGGAGAACATGGACGGCTCGGGTTTGGTGACAATGACAAGAGCAGCAAAATGGTTCCACAGAAAGTTAACTTATTATCTGGAGAAGACATCATTCAGGTAAAAGATGAACCATCTGTGTCATCTTCTCATGACTTCAAAAGCTCTTATCGATATTTTATTCTCAGGTGTCTTGTGGCGGAACTCATTCAGTCGCTTTAACAAGAGATGGTAGGATCTTCTCGGTAAGTCCTCTTAGAGAGAAAGACATTGTTTAGTTAAACCAGAAGTCAATCTCGAAACCTTATTTATATCGATTCTTGTAATCAGTTTGGTCGGGGAGACCACGGTAGACTCGGATATGGAAGAAAAGTGACTACGGGACAACCATTAGAGCTTCCTATAAACATTCCACCACCAGAAGGACGGTTTAACCACGCCGATGAAGAGGAAGATGGAAAATGGTTAGCTAAGTTTGTGGCTTGTGGCGGCCGACACACTCTAGCTATTATGGAATGGAAGTTGGATCACGAGGAAAACTGAATAACCATGAAGAAGAAAGAGAAAGCAAAATCCACGACACACATAACACAAAGGGGACTTCAGAGAGGAGCATTTGTTATAGAGAAAATAATTGTTAGGCTTTTGATTTTCCCATGAATGATGAATCTATATGAAGACTGAAGAGGAAGGACTAATATAAAATTTCATTACGATTATAGAAAATAGGTGGTAAAAGAGAGAATCTTGCGATACTTGTAAACTCTTTCTTCGTGTATCTTGATTCTGTTTTTTTTTTTTTTTTCGGGTTTTGAAGGTTTGTTCAACAACCTTTGACAAGATGAGGAACACAAATTGGGAAGATGTACTTTGATTTTCTTGTTTGTCTTTGTCTTGATCTCACCCATGAGAAGCATCCACTTCCTCTCTTCGTTTTCTTCTTCTTCCCTTCTTCACTCATCTCTTGCTTCTCTTCTTCTTCTTCACTCATCTCTTGCTGCTCTTCTTCTTCTTTACTCATCTCCTGCTTCTCTTCTTCCTTCTCTTTCTCTTCTACCTTCGCATCCTTCAAAACCCAAATTACTCATCCGTAACATATAATATCTTAAGAATTAGACACTTAAATTTATACTTTTGACATACATTGGACCTAATTTTGCTTACAAGTTATTTGTCCAAAATGTTTCACACTGGTAAATGACTAAATGGTAATGGTACGTGGAGAAAACTCACATTTTTTTAAGTAATGTTTAATAGTTGTTTGTGCAATTAATGGCCCAATTTTAATATATGGCATAAGGCCCATTCATGGATATATCTATCATGTATATAATAGCTAGAAAATGTTTAAAAATTATAGATGGTAGTCACGTGTGTGTTGGAGACAAAATCTTGAAATGGGGTCTAATGATAGATTTTTTTTGTTTCCATTAAATAGTGATAGCATATGATATGATTATATGTTTTGTGTTTCTATGATTGATACTCGTGCGTACTATGTTTCATATACTATGAGAGGATCTTAATCTTAAAATGAATCCTATAACATATGTCTAGAAAAATTAAAAAAATTTAATGTCGAAGCGTTTTATCATTGTCTATTTCTCTGATTGAAACAATGGTACCATCCCTTGTTTAATTGGTGCTTTTCTTATCTTGCAAAAGAATCTAATTATTGATGCACGAACACTTCAAAAATTTATGCAATTATTAATTTCCGTATCTTTTCATGGACCTCATGGTAGGGAATAATATATTTCGAATATTTTAGTAATTGTTGTTTCATACTTTTTCAAAATTATTACCGTAACAAAATTGTTACTCGCATTTTATTAGGTGTACGATAATTCCATTTTTGCTTTACAAAAAATGAATGAATGCAAACACAAAAACAAATAACATATACCTCTTGTTGACTTTTTAATTTGAGATTAAAATCCACGGGCGAGTCATTAGCTTCCACGTGTCGGTTGAGCGAACGTTCCATGATCGGAGGCGTCATTGCCGGGCTAGGGCTACCGGAGCTAAGATCCACCGACGTACTCTGAATACCCACATCTCGTTTTGGCCCCACAACTTTCTTTTCTGCTAAAAACACCCCAAAATTTCCTTTTTATCAGAAACCCAATTGAGAAAGAAAAAAAAAGCTTCAAGAAAACTAAACTATTAACGAACAAGAAAAAAGAGCACATATTTTAAAATAAATCACCTCGAACAAGAACAGGATCAGGAGCATAAAGATCCTCGTGAATGACTCTAACGTTTGGATTATTATGGGGTTTGTTTTGACCGATGTTCATCAATGGATTGGGATTAGTGAAGTGAAGAGGAGCAGACATGGTGGTCAAGTTTCTGAAGGATCTTGCACTTAATGTTTTAGAAGACAAACACTCCATTGGAACTTCTCCAGACAATGGGTTGCAGATATATTTCTCTGCTTCGTTCCACTTTGAATTCAACGCAAACCCTTCATGTGTTAACCATTCTCTGTTATTGAACATAGCCTTTGCTTGTAACGCTGCAAACCAAAAACAAAAGGAAACAAACCAAAACACAAAATTGAACACTTTTAATTATTTTGTTCTTTTGATTCAAGTTAACGATTTGATTGTTGGTGAAAACATACCCTTGAGAGCATTGGTGAAGGAATATGTTGATGGGTCAATCTCTTCTGTTATAAAGATTTTGAATTTAAATATTTTCAGATGAAATTATATATTCGTATAACACAATAAGGTAAAGAGAGATATGGCAAAGTTTTAACCTTTGAGAGTGTAGCCAGGAGAAGAAACAGTACTAGAGATGTTGTTAAAGTTTGTTCTAAAAGAAGACTTGTGATGATCTTCTCGGAAGCTTCCAACGTATGAAGCTGAAAACCTTCTAGAAGTCGGGTTCTCGCGGATTAATCGAGCTCGTCGATCCCATTCTCTTAGGTTCATAAACTCATGCTCATCTCCTCGCAGAGCCATGGGAAACGAAATATTTCTTCTTCTTTGGTTTTTTTTTATTGTTTATTTGAAAGCGCAAAAACTTTTTAGCTGAGGAGGGAGAATGAAGCAATCAGGCAGCACCTATAAAAAGATGTTTTTTTTTTTGTCTGAAGAAGAAATGTATTATTATTATTTTACTACCTTATCTTCTAAATAATATCATATTGGCTGTATTAATATTATTCTTTCGGATCTCTATTGAGTCATTTTGAAAAATGTTTAAAATTTAAAAATTCGGAATGTAGAGAGATGTGTATGAGGTTGTTAATCAATTTGACTGCTTGCCCTGTATTAAAAAATCTTACAATATAGCATTTTTGTTTTTACTTGGGTGTAATCCATTTCTAGGAATCAAAAACTCACTTGGCATTTTCTGCTATTTTGTAGTAGCTTTTTTGAAATATGGTCCTTCTTTCTTTTCAGTATTTTCAGTGCTTTGAGTTCAATTTAATTGCTTTTTATTTATATATTAATCATATATATATATATATATTAATCAGATATATTAATCATATATATATACACACACAGTTAGTCAATTTGCAAATATCGTTGTTCGAAATATATCTGTGTTTACGGTTTTCATTAATTCCTTAGTTAATGTTAGTCGTTAGATCGTAATAATTCATTTATTTAAGTGACATTAGTAGTATTACTAATACTACTATTGTTGTTCGAAAGATATCTGTGTTTATGGTTTTCTTTTTTTTTAACAGTGATCTATTATTATTCTATTACAAATTATGGAGTTTACGGTTTTCATTAACTTTTTATTTAACGTTACATCGAAATAATTCATATATTTAAGTGACAGTAGTAGTATTACTCGTACACACTATTTATGAGTTGAAAAATTGGCAGAGACCTTGGAAAGGTGGGCACACGATCTTTTATGAGTGGTCGAATAACCACATGTCATTTCACCAAATATAATAATGCTCACATCAGATGAAATGTTGAAATCATGATTGTAAATAAAACATTTAAGTAATCTGATAGAAAATGACTTTAATACTCAATAAAAGAAAACGAAATGCGAACTAGTTTAGGTTGTCGTAGTTGGAAGTGTTTTTTAATCAGACCGCACACCCAAATTTTTCTTAAGATTTAATCTTCTTACGTAGTTTAGTATCACATTTAGATTATTACTAACTAGAAAATGCTTTATATATCAAGTATTGCAAACTAGATGTAATTTTTATTCAAATGATTAACAATCTATAGGAAGAGAGTTTCCTTTTGTTTACGAAGTAGTTATGTACTAATAATATATTGTACTAGCTCCCATTGTAACAATGAATTATTAGTGCCGTATATAGAAATATCTGTGTGAAATTAATGAAAGTTTTCAAAAAAGATCAACGAAAAATGTTGTTGGCCAACGTCTGAAATTGAGATGGACCAAAGAAGAGATGATGCCACATGGTGAGGAGGTTGGCAGAATGTAAAGAATGGATAGGGGTGATATGGAGTTTATATATATATAAAAAATTATATGTGGTGTATTTTTTATTTGAAATAATGTAAAATGGTGTGTATGTGTATATAGAGAGTACAGTTGTTTTCAATAACATGGTCTTCTTTTGTTTGGTTATAGTGAGGCAAATTAATTTGATGTGTGATCGAATGGACTCTATATAAAGAGAATCTATAAATAGTGGTTTTGTGGTCGTACACATATCAATATCCATGTCCATGTGAATGTCACATTCATCATCGTTGTACATGTGATGAAGATGACTAACTATGAACTATTTATTCATTCTCTTCTGAGAATAAGTATATCTTTGATGCTTGATTCGAATTGGACTTTCATTCATTTATTTCCTTTATTTTTTTATATGTTTTTTTTTTCCATCATGTTGTTGTAAACGTGGATGAAAATGATTTAATATGAAATTTATATGTATCTTTTTGGACTAGGGAATGCTTCAGATCTAAAGATATAAGTGAGAGTATAAGTGTTAAAGCCAAGGAAGAAAAAAAAAACCAGTAAACTAATAGAAAAACGAGTTAAGCTGAAACCGATCTAAAGTATGTGCGACTTAAATGAGTACAGTCACTCTATTTCATTACAGTATGTGCGATTTAAATTAATTCAGTCACTCTATTTCATTACACACATTCAAACCAAAACTCACACACTGACATATATATATATATATATGTATACAACATTACTAAGCCAATGATTTTAACATTGTGATTTAAAATATTAACGTTCGGAGTAGATATTAGCATATACTGCAATAAAGGATAAATCCGTGGTCGCTATACAGTAGTTTGAAATTTTCTGGGTTAAAGGATTGTATAAAAACCGAATAAAGCTATTCGGATTGGACCGGTTAAGCAATTTAACAAGGGGCCCCACAATAGAAACTAATGATTGTGGTGGGAGCAGAAGAGGCATGCAAATGTAGGCATCACTTGTGACAGGTAAAATAAGGAAAATGATTCACATATATAATCTTTGTCTCTTCTTTTTTCTGCTTGCAGATTATTTGCTTTATTATTATATTTTCCCCAATCTCTTATTATTATCATTACTGATATTAATATTCTCACTTCTTGTCTTTTCTTTTGTCTATTTTGTTGTTCATCTCCACAACTTTTTTGCCCAAAAAATTCAAATTTGAGTCGATTCTTTCTTTTTTTGGTGTTTCGCAGTACTAATCATGACAATTTCTCTTTTCACCTATACAGTAGAATAGTTACGAACCGCTTTTCCAATGTAATCAAAGTAGATTTATTGCAGGAGATAGTACATATCCATGTGAAAAATTTTCTGTTTTCTTTTGACCCCATGAATATTCTATAAAATACTTCAAAAAAGTTGCGGATAGTTGAATACTTATAGAGTGGTTGATTTGTATGTTTAAAAGAATTCAGTTTGCTGGATTTTATTACTAATGGTGAAACAAAAAACATGAAACTACATTATCAGGTTTATTGGAAAAATACGTGCAAACACACCAAGGATCGGAATGTACACTTAAAAAAAAAAATTTATATCCCATTAAATACAAACATATTTTACTAAAAATATATATATCAAAACATAAATCATCAAATGAATGAGATATTTAGCTTAATGATTTGTAATTTTGTAGTCGTGGCGTCGTGTTATCATTAATATCATTTTCCACATTCAAACTTGATAACGTGCGGTTGTAAACAAAAAAAAAGGTAGTTGAGGCTGGCCACATTTATTGAGCTTCGAGCCCATAAAGCCCAATATCTAAGAGCTCAATAGCCCATATAGAGGCATGGTTGTGGGATAAAAATTTGATTAATAGCAAATTACGATTGCATAACTGTAGGAAACCAATGTGCCAATGAACTAATTTTTGTGAGATTTAGACTCTGACTACTAATAATTTGTGAATTAGTTGTCAGTATTTGCGAAAAGTATTCTGAACGGCCAGTGGAAGATATAAATAACATCTTATACGCATTTGGATGAAGAAGTTCTATACAAAAAGTTTCTGTTTCTCTGTAAAATTTCATATAATTAATACAGTATCACTGTAAACAGATTTTACATACACATCAGATGATTCATAACTAGATAGAAATATACGCAATTTTGTAACAGTTATATACATATATATATATATATATACATATATAGAGGGGTCCAAATTAAAATCACTAATTCCAAGATATCGGATGCTTCATAAAACAGAAACTAATCACCCCACTATAAATCTATAATCAATGATTAGTAAACCAAACTACTAAACTAGTATTACAAAGACGAAAGTAGTACTTGATGCGTTGAACCGTACAGTGTTTTTACTTAGGGACACAATCTTTATTGATTAATCCAAGGCCAAGATACGGCCTGATGATACTTAAATTATGTTCAAGTTCACTGTTACATATAATCAATATTGTGCACCAAAATATCAGTAAGAAATTAATTCATATTAGTCAGGAGACAAGATAAACAAGGTTGTCTGGATTATGCCAAACAGTAAGCATGCAGTCACGCGAATGTCACGTGTGGCTGCTTCCACATCTTCGTTTGCTACTTTTTTTTTTCTTTTCTTTTCTACTTTTTTCGAATTGATTCTTCTTTTGATTAAAAATTACAAGTATTTGCAAAGTTATCGTGGATTGACCAAAAAAAAAGGAAAGAAAAAGGTATTTCAAGTGGATTTTGGAAACGATGGAACAAGAATTCTGGAGAAAACACAATTTCAAGACTTGTCTCTGTTCAAATACCTTTTGTCTTCAAAAACATTGCGTTTTTTTGTCTGCCAAAAATATTGGTTTGTTGATAATTTCTAGTAACTTTTTTTTTGGTTTAATTTTTTCAAGTAACTGGTAAATATGTTTGCATTTTTATCCTTCTTCTGAAAATTTGAATTAATGGAGTCTTGAATATATATACTTCTTGGGGTCTTTGAACGTAACCAGATTAATCCATTGAATAATTTTTTTTGGGATATTCTAAAAAAAAAAGAAAAAAAAATAGGAAACTACCCCACGATGTTACATCTAGATGAGATCATATAACCACTAATTATGACTTGTATATATTTTAAAAAAAATCCTTACAAACAAAAAGAAAATCTAATTTTTATATTGTTTCATCCGTAAATCATAAAGTTCTCTCTTGAAACATAGACATAGAGAAGATAGAGCTAGTGTGGTGACCACTGATTAAACTGTTCCCCCTTTTCTATGCTTTGGTATTTGAAATGTGATTAACAAAGAAATATGTCTAATAGATTAAAAAGTTTACGCTGTATGGTTTAGTGGAGCTTTTGAAACAAGTCCAGGTTCAAGTTATGTTTGATTGCATAATGGAACACGAGAAAAGACATGTGCGATTTCGTTTTACATGCACTTTATTCGTGTGATAATTGTAGTATTAGTTTGGTTTGATTGAAAAAACTTATGTAATATTCACTAATCAGCACAAGTTCCTATTTTGTTGGGTTTGATGAAGTCATTTTCTATCCATTTTAAAATGTTTTGCGATATTTTACGATCGAATATGTTTTTTTTAATAATACATACACTACAGATTTATCTGTCTAATTAATAAAATAAATTAATATATAGGATCTAACGTTAATACTGTTTAATTATTTTACTTTATAAAAATACAATAATTTTGTTTGATATAATCATATATATTTTGTCACGGTTTCATGTTTAATCTTATTATTTATATTCTATATGCATGGTGAATGCAAATATACACCTTTTCTAATTAGAAGTTAGTATCGTAGCTAGGTGATGGATATATATAATTAAGAATAATAGAAAATGTAACCATGCCTGCATGTACCAGAAACTCTCTCTCTCTATATATACACACCTCCACAAGTGAATTCTCCTTCAAATCAGCTCTCGTCTATCCAAAGCTTCTTTCTTCTCTACCAGTCTAATACCAAAACAATTCTGCTTTTTCGCTTATTCTTAAGAAGGAAACAATTTTCTCATTTCTTTTCCACCGGCAAAATTTGTAATATAGAAGAAATAGAAATGGAGAGGATTGTGATGAGCTCGGAGAAGGAGAAGAAGAGATCATTAAGTAGAAGATTGGGGAAGTATATGAAAGAACAAAAGGGAAGGATTTACATCATCAGAAGATGTGTGGTCATGCTCCTTTGTTGGCATGATTGATCCTAGAAAAAGTTTCAAACAATGCCTAGTTCAAATGTTTGTTTACACGTGCCACGCGTGCATGTATATGTGTGCATGTGGGTTAAGGAATTAAGTAAGTGAGGAAGAGTAGTGTTAAGTAGGGGGTAAAAAACCAGGTTGCTTGATTTAATTTTGTGATCATGTACCGCATTGTATATAGTACTTCAAAGCCATGCACCGTTGTTTCTTTTTAAGACGAATGTTTTTTCTTCTTTTTTTTTTGCTAAGATCATCAGACTACTCTAGTCTCTAGATGCAAAATAACAATAAAGATTTGGATTCGAGTTTCATTGATCATTACAATTTACAACCATGAACCATCTCACTGAGTTAGAAAACACGTACTGATTACGAGAAATGTATACATATGGTTTTACAAACAGACTTAAAGATACGTGTTGATTTTATCACAAATTTTCAAATATATATTTTATTATTTTTGTTAGAGTATAACCACGAATATAGACAATACAAATTTGCAATCCCTTAATTAGTCAAAGATAATAACCTCTTCTTCAAATATATGCTTCTTCTACTGCTTGCAATACCGCATGATTCATCATCATCGTCAGAAGAACCTTCTGCACGAGCAAGGAACTTCCCCTTCCGTTTACGATTCAAGTCATCTTCATCATGTTCATCATCAGTAACATCATCATCTTCATCACCATCATCATATTGTTGGTCCCGATCTTCTGAGGAAGACTCATTGCTTGGTGTTTGAAAAACGGTGATACTTGCGTTCTCCCTATTCCGCAAAGAGAAGCTTCTAGAACCTCCTCCGTACAAGGGAAGAACAGAATCTTTTGACTTTGATACATCTATGTCCCTTCCAAGACTGTAGGTCGAAGAGAGTTTTCTCTTCACGTGTTCCCTTTCTTGAACCAAATCACCGATTTTATCAACCGCGAATTCATCGGCCGTTGATTCATTTTCAAGTCTCATAATCGTTCTATCGATTTCTCTTCTCTTCTTGTGCAGCAAACGCTGGAAACAACAAAAAAAAATAGCTATGAAGTACTGAAAAACAGAGGATTCTTGGGATGCAAGTAACAAAATAAATTTAAGATACTTATTACATAAGCTATCCTAGGGCTTCTTACTCGCTTGTCCAAGAAAGCACTGAAAGGGCGACCTTGAAGCTTATTTTTCTTCCAGAAGATAAAGCAGAACCTCACAAGAGCCGCAAAGAGGACCATGATCACAAACTCGAACAGTAAAAACCAAATAATCGCCCTTTCGTTGCCTAAATGGAAAAGAAATATATATAGTCTCATGAAGTAATGAATATCTATATCCAAGAAAAATATTATTGGAATTTCAGGGATATTACCAATGTAGATATCAAGATGCTCTGGTTCCGCAAACGAACAGCTAAATGATAGCTTGTCGTGTTTGGAGCGACATCGAAATGGATTTCCAGAATTAGCGGCTGCAAGGAACGCAAGAACAATCCTCTCGTCCAACACAAAATGTTGTAGATCTTCGTCTAATTGCAAATTCGCAATTTGATCTGATGAAAAAAAAAAGTCATCATTTAACAAAACCTAAATAGTTTTTTTCAAAGAGACTGAAAATAATCTTAAGATTAAGAGTTTTTTTACCAGAATAGCTCTGAGACCAGTATATAGATCTCGTGTCTGGAGCTACAAGTGAAAAAACAGCGGTTTCTGGTTTCTTGGCCGACACAAAATTATTATCTCCAATGACACGATTGATCTTTCCTTCTAGTTTTGTCTGAGAAAAATAGACCGCACTGCCCGAGCAATCGAGCAATGGCTCTACTTGGATCACAGAATCCGTTTCTGTGTCTTTCGGTATCTTATAAAGCTCCCCTGTTCTTGAAAACGTGTACAAGGTCCCATCTAGTGAACCAATCGATACCCACCCTGTGAAAAAAGAAAGCAAAAAAAATACAGTTGGTAAGATAAAAATCGATCTTACATGTGAAAATATCTTAATCAATTCGTTAATATGGAAACTGACTGTTTGTGTCTATGACAGGCTCTGAGCAACAAGCTTCTGCTAATGGACCAACGGTTTTCTGCCACAAAATGTCGCCGGAAAACGAATCTAATGCGAAAATGAGCGATTTCGTTGGGAAAACAACGTAGACGAGACCGTTATTCCCTGGTGTAACGGTGAAGAATCGATCCACTAGACTAAAATCTTGAATCCATTGGTAGTAAATACCACGGAGAGATAAAGAGTAGAGTTCTCCTTCATTGTTTGAGATCTGAAAATTGTTGTTGAAAAGAATAAACAAGAAGAATAATAATCCACCAGTGATGAAATGTTTTGAATGAGAATAAGAAAGAAAGAAAAAGAGATGTTACATAGATGCTTGCTTCGCAAGAATCAATCACAGGTCGAGAATCGAATTTACAGTTTTCGTAATCTCTTCGACATCCTAATCGGTATCCAAAGCTTTCAGTTTTAGGCTCTGCAATCCAGAGTTGCTGCCGAAGCATGTTATAAGCGTAGAGACCGTGATTCTTAACCGTGATGTAAACCGACGAACTCGATATGCTAACCGCGAAACCGAGGATGGTTTCGCCTGGATCGAAGAACAATTCCGGTTCAGATTCGGTTCCGTTTCTTGGGAAGTTAACCCTCAGGATTCGATTCTCTGCAAGAACAAGCATCTGGAAACAACCATCACTATGATGAGAAAACAGAGGAGATGGAAAAAATTGACAGTTATGGTTGAGTATGTATGTACCTGGTCTAAACCAGAATAAACCGGGGAGAAATCGGTGTTACATTTGAAATTCATGTGGACCGACCAAGCAATTGAACCGTTAGACTCGAAGGAGAAGAAATCGTTGTCGGAGCAAGCGTAGACTCTGCCGTCATCGCCTATGAGTGTCTTCGAGAGAATTCGAACAGATTTCTTCTCCGCGGTTTGGTCTGGAACATTGAGAAAAAGAGAGAGAGACAAAAAAGGCATGTTTTTACTTGCCGGATATTTAATTACGTAAAAAGTTGCGGAGAGTAAAAATATAACCTGGTAATTGAGAAACTGTAGAGAAGACGAAGAAGAAGAACAGTACGGAAACGAAAAAGAATCTCAAAGCCACCATTGTTGAAAATTTCGAAGAAAGCATGATTTTGGTGTGGCTTCTAAACACAAGTTGCATTATCACGCAGCGGAATCACCGCTAATCAAGGATTAGTGAGGTTCTCAGACGTGTGGAGATTTTGTAGAACCGCTAAACGTTTTAACTCTGCAAACTAGAGAGTTATGAAGCGCTGTTAGTGGAGAAAATCAAAACTGCTTATTAGGGGAAAAAAATCTAAACTTTTTGGTTTTCGGTCGAAATTTTTTTAAAAAATCTAAAATTTAATCTCAAAAATATAAAATTTGTAGTTGCTCAGCCTCAAGCAGTCCATTCCAAACCCTTGCGCCGCGTCCAAGTATGATCAAAGCTGCTTTTGGCAAAATTCCTCTGATTCCGAATCAATAATCATGATTCCATTTTAACAAAACCATGTTTTGACTCTCTTCCATTTGGTGATATTCTTCGTGATGGTAGCGATGACTGATTTGTTTGAACCATAAAGAAGGCAGTAATTCATTCATTTGCATAAGCTACTCTCTGTTTCTGGTAAAGTAGTGTAGATTCCTACTCTTCCATATTCGCCATAGAATCCACAAATGCGATTTTGACGCAATAGAGGTGGTATGTTCATATTCTTATTTCAATCCATTGTATTTTCGAAACTATGTTATCTCCCCTTTCATGTAACAAAACCAGTCAAATTCTCTGTTTTATTTAGACGCTAAGAGGAACAACAACAAACAAACAAACAAACAAACAAACAAAGTTTGGCAGAAGATGTTTATCAACCAAAAAAAAAAAAGAAGAAAGAAAAACAAAGCTAGTAGTAGTATAGAAAATAATCTAGAAGAGAAAGGGAACAAGGGCCTTGATATGCTTAGGGAAGTGATCAAACTTGGAAAGATACCATCTTCTTGTAGCATAACTCCGACCGACGAGATAACAAGTTGTTCCCATGGCGAAAGAAAGCGAGTAAATGGTCTGAGAAATCATAAAGAAGCCCCAAAACACAAGGATCTCGAACAGATAGTGAGGGCATATGATGGTACCAAACAGACCTCCTTCTGGTATCTTGTACTCTTTCTTCCCACCTTCTTCTTTCCTCAGCTTAGCCAGCAAACAATGGTGATACAGATTCCCAACAATCCCCACCACGAACATCGCAATCCCTGCGAGTTTCAGATCGAAAGCTGGCTCCTTTAGTCCCAGCGTCAAGTTTTGGCTGTATAACATCAACGCCGTGGAAGAGAAGTAGCTGCTGGTTATGGTGATAGCCGATTCTACAGCCATCTCTCCACTGTACTTATGAATGAACAGAACCTGAGAAATGAGAGAAATGCAACATTCAATTACACTAGATGATGATGATCTTGATAATCACAACTCCTAATCAAAACACCAAGAACATCAAAAGCTTTAAGGGTTTTTTTTTACCTCGAAGATCCTCTTGAAGAAATGGAGGGCAAGTGCGGATTTGAGGAGGAGAAACCTGAGATCGTCAGATGGTAAGACGAAGAAAGAAGCGGAAGCGGCTAGAAACGCCGGTGTGTATAAACAAAGCATTCCGGTTCGGCTTGAGATGCTGCCGAGTCGCTGCTTTTGTGTTTGTGGTGATGATGAAGAAGATGATGATGAAGATGATGCGTTGTTGAATTTGGAGTATTTCAGATGATTTCCTCTCACTTCCGACCAACCGATCTTCGCCAGAGCGGCTAAACCGACTACGCTCATTGTATTGAGCAATATCGACGGAGGCGGTGGATACAGAAAACTTGTCGCCATTTCCATTTTTTTTTTTTTTTTTTTGTCTTGCTTTGGAAGATGAAATAAATCTTTGGCCTCTCTTGTATTTATAATAACCACAGAAATTTGTTTTCTTTAAATGGAAAAATATTCAATGATCAAGGAGACACCGACACGAAACCAGATGTAATTATGCAGATATGATTCTGATTTAGCTGTCGTGTTTTACTTTCGTCAACGCTTTTGATTTTATTAGAATACACACAAATCTTAATAATATAAATTGTGGGGGTTAGGAACTCTGACTTTGAATCTAATGTGTGAACAAACCTCCATTCGTGGGTGTTACTTCTGACTTTGAATCTAATGTGTGCGCAATTCTGTGAATAAGTTTACTTTTAGCTTTATATAGCCTTCTCTATGTTTCTCGAAGCAGACATTCATGGCTTTTTTCACATTAGTACATTACCTTTACGATCGAAGAGAGCCTTCTACAGGCAAAGACGTAATTAGTCACCTAGTAATTTTTTTTCTTAATTTTCTTGTAGAAAAAGATATATACGTATGTGTTTGTGTTACTTCACTTTAATTGAAAAAACAAAATTCAGATACTGTAATAAATTGTAATTTCTCAAACTTGAAATTCCCAAATTCCAAGCATGAAATCCAAGAACATACAATGTAAATAACTATGAATTAACCCTAACTCCTAAGTACAGTAAATTAACACCTTACATAACAAAGCCTATACAGTTACGGAGACACAACATTCCCAAAAAACAAACTCTCTATATTATACAAAAAAAAAAAGAACAAGAATCCCTCAAGATTCAAGAAACAGAAACATCTTCTTCTTCTTCTTCTTCTTTAGATACATGTATAGATTTCATCTAGGACCAGAGAGCTCCATTGCTTGCGCAAGTAAAGTAGAGTCATCAGTAAGATCAGAGTATCTGTCTGAAGATGACATAAATTCTGTGATCCTGTTGCTACATTTCGAAGCACTGTCTGATCTTTGAGAAGCTTCCCATCTCTCTGCAAGTCCATCTCCTTCGAGCATTCGAACAACTTCAGACATTTTCGGTCTATGTCCAGGCAAATACTGTGTACACAACAAAGCTACTCTCACCATTTCTTCTAACTCAATCTCGTCATAGCTCTTCTTCTTCAGCAACTCTTTATCCACAAGCACCTCAAGTTTCTTCTCTTGATGAATCTTCTTAACCCAATCAAGCATCGCCCCTTTCTGGTTGGCCGCTTTACCAAACTCAAGAGCTCTTTGTCCGGTCACAAGCTCAAGAAGAAGAATCCCAAACCCGAAAACATCGGTCTTCTCTGAGGATTGCCCAGTTGATAGATACTCAGGAGCTATGTGACCCACCGTGCCTCTAACCGCGGTTGTGACATGAGAATCTTGATGATCCAAGAGTTTAGCCAAACCGAAATCTCCAACCACAGCTTCACAATAGTCATCAAGAAGTATATTAGCTGCTTTGACGTCACGGTGGATAATCTTGGGATCACATTGCTCATGGAGATACACAAGCCCTCTTGCAGCTCCTATCGCTATCCTCTTCCTAATGCTCCAATCAAGAACCGGTTTTGCCTTCATTCGTGATGCAACGCTTCCATTGGACATGTAAGGATAAACCAGAAGCTTCTCAGCTTGCGTGATGCAGAAACCATACAGTCTTAAGAGGTTTCGATGAACAGCTAAGCTGATCATTTCGACTTCTGTCTGAAATTGAATCTCTCCTCCTAATGCATTTCCATCTTTAAGCCTTTTCACCGCAACCACAGTGCTGTCTCCGAGTATTCCTTTGTACACATTTCCATAGCCGCCTTTTCCCAATAAGTTCTTACTGCTGAAGTTATTAGTCGCAATCTGAAGCTCTCTGAAACCAAATCTCCTCAGATTTCCAAGTGAAACCTCCTCATGATGATGCCCATCTGATGAAAACATAATCAAGGAAATTTCATTCAAATAAAAAGCTCTTAAGAATGTTCTATGCAAGAAAGAAACTGAGAAAGATCAAACCTTTAACATCAAAGAATGTGTTTTGGCTATGTCTTTGTCTCCACCAGAGAAACAACCCAACAGCAATGAAGATCAATGATACAATCCCAACGCTGGATCCAACAGCGATTGCCATTTTGTGATTCTTCGATCTAACGGTGTATAGAGAAGCTTGAAAGAGAAAGCAGTTGTTAGTTTTGTATATAATCAAAGATAAGCATATAGCTAAAACTGACACTTTTCCAAGATTGAAGTTTATTTCAAGCAGCTAGTTATAGTTACCTCCAGTTTCATTCAAGTTCATGGACATTGGTATCAATGTAGTTCCATTGCAGTCTGGTTCATTACCCGTTGGACAGATCTGCGGGTTCCCAACGATGCTGTAATCAAAAGGGTAACATTAAAAGTTAATCATAGAGTGAAAGAGAGAGACAATTGAGAGAGAGAGAGTATCAATCACCTAAAGGTCTTTGCAGCAAATCTTGGGACAGGGCCACTAAGATTGTTGTAAGATAAATCGCTGGAAAACAAAACAGATAAAATCTCAACATTACATTACATTAAGTGTCTCTGTATATCAATAGCTTTACTGAGTAATGTGAACAGAAGACTAATTAGCTTACAGAAAGGCAAGTTGAGTCATGTTGGATAGTGACAGAGGAAATACTCCTGAGAGAGAATTGTTGTTAAGCCTCCTGATGACACACAATATCACATATCAAGCTCACAAAAATCCTTAAAACAACACAAATTAAAAGATCCATAAACAACTTTTAATTTCTAGTCTTACAGGTATTGCAAGCTTCGTAGACTGCCTACTGAAAAAGGAATATCACCACGAAAGAAGTTATCAGAGAGATCAAGAGTCTCAAGCCTCGTAAGCCGACCAATCTCAGAAGGAATTTTTCCTGTTATGTTGTTGTTCTGCAAAAGCCTGCAAGAGAATAATCATTAAGAACAACAACACATACACAAAGCACAGTGTATAAAATCAAAGCTCAATTAGTAAACAGTAAGTGTACTCACACAATCCGAAGATTTGTTAAGTTGGTAATGCTTGGAGATAATGTACCAGATAAATTCTGGCTAGGTGTGCCCCTGTAATCAAATAAAAGCATTTTTTTTTCTTCTTCACGTGAATTTGCTCGCTCATCAATATAATATATGAATATATTAATGTAAATGTGAAACTTACAGGCCAGTGACAAAGTTTTCTGGAGAACAGGTGACCATTGTCCAACTACAAGGATCAACAGCATCTCTATCCCAGTTATCAAGAACACCATGAGGATCATGTAATGAAGCTTTTATGTCCATCAAAGCTTGCACTGAAGAAAAATTTACTTCCCACATTAGTTTGGATCAAGTACGACAGAAGCGAGAATTCAAGAAAAAAAAACTAGAGAGCTGAAATTCTTTTGCTAAAGAGTGAAAAGGAAAATTGAAAGCTTTTAATAAATTACCTTCAAAGTTAACTCCTTTAGATGAAAGCAACCCGTTTACAGAGCTGAGAAGGCAAAGGAATCCCAAGAAGTAAACTAAAGATCTTCTCATCGTCATCATGTTGAGTATAGTACTCTCCATTGCTGAACAGAGAGAAAGGAATGAGCAGAAAACAAGATGTACTCAGTTTCCAGATAATTTGGTATTTGATGGATTGGAAGAATCAAAAATCAAATCTTTATTCTTTTCTTTTAAATTTGGGTTAAAAGTATAAATATTTTCAACATCAAGAAAAAATTGCTTTCTATGGCAGAAAACCCACTTCACCAAAAGCATCATCTTTTTAAGAAAAAAAATATATTTTTCTGTGTCAGAAACGAAAAAAAAAAAGAAAAGGAAAAAGAAAAACCAGATTCATTGGTAGTCTAAAGCGAAGTTCATAGCATGCTTGTCGATAAAGCTTGTATGTGGGGAGACCGTTAAAAAAGTAATAAAATTATATTAAAAGTGTTGAAAAAAAAATCAATATTTGCCCATATTGTTGTAATGGACAAGGATAGTCAGTAGAGCAAATCTAATTTGTATTTCAAAAATTAGAAAGGGTAAAGCAGGAAATTAGAATACTGTTCTTTTGCTAGCTGCCACTCTGTCATGTTTTTGTCTATGGTTTTTATACATTTTCACATTTTTTCTTTCTTAATTTATTTCACATATACTTACTGTATACAATGTTTTTTATAGAGTGTAGAATTGCTTGGTACAAAGGGAATCCAACATTCCATGGCTAGACCTAATAGTTATTCCTCACTCTTCAGTGTATAAATATGTTTACATGTCATCGATATTTGGGGTTAGTATCTTTTGAGAATGTGAGAACTTCGACAGAAAGATTATATGAAAAACAAACTTGGCTCAAGATATTTTTTTATTTATTGAGTTTGTTGCCCACTCAATTTTCAGCATCTTTGTCTTCTCGATGTGTGGAACTTAAGTTGGCCTTTGCATGGAGAATAAAGATTCGAAATTTGTTCAAAGTTAACGATCAATTTTTATTTCATCAGAAGAAAAAAATTCTATATAAAGACCGTCAAATTTTGAAAACACAACACAGTTTCGTAGCATTCAAAATACAAAATCACTATAGGTTATTCGATATCTTGTAATGTACCTGCATATATTATCATAAAACTAGATAATGAGATAACCCATAGTCCAAGTACAAGACATTAAAAGTTTAACCTTACAATTTGTCCAAACCGCTTGTCGTTTTCAATAGGTTTTGTCTATGTGTGACTTGGCAGTTATATTATGACAAGCATTTGCATTTGTTCAAAGTATATACTATACACATGGTGTTAAAACAAATATGGTTTATCTTAGTTTTATGATATCACTCGTTATAATTTTTGGGTTTAAGATTATCTAAAATTTAGAGAAAGGTTTTTCAGTAAACTAAAATTTTTAAAAATAATTTCACATTTGATAATGGAAAACTAAACAATGTGTATTTATCTTCACAAAAAAATGAAAATAAAAATAATACAAAATTTATTCGACGTCTGAAGGTTCAATTATATGAGAAACAACAAATACGTTGAAAACCCAAATGCGATATGATGATCATATTAAGGTGCTATAACCCTCTAGAGCTACTAATTAATATTTACAGATAAAATTATCTGTATTTTTAACTTGCCTTTTATAGTAACCAAAATTTCAAAGCTTAGTCTAAATTATGCTGCAATTTACTTCTCATATCAATAGTCAATTATACAATTTTTTTTTTTTTGAGATTATGATTTCGACAACGAAACAATGTTGTTTGATTAGTGAAGTACCTGTCATTTATATGATGTAGCACATAGAATGATTTGCGACGTTCTATTACTTATATATATTCACATTCGTTTTCTTTTTGTTGTTGAAAGGCTTCATATATTCACATTCGTACACCATGGTTATCTTCATCGATACGTACCGACTACCGACTTGTAAACCAAAAAGAAAGAAACAAAAAATTACTATTGTAAATATGTAGTGAACATTATTATATTTTTCTGTTCAAGAATTACTTTCCCAAGCGTTATTCCTAGTCAAGTTTATACAGTTTGGTCCACGTGACACGGTTTCTTAAAACTCGATTTATGAGAATCAATCATTAATATTTAATGGTTTTCTCCTTGATTTGACGTTTGATGGAAAATGGGTTCTGTGAATTTCAGAGGAAACAAAAATAAAAATCATAAATACTATAGACTCTATAGAGTATAAGATTACAAAACATGACATAAAAGATTGTGAAGAATGCAGATAGAGAAAAATGGTTCCCAACTTGAGTCCTATGCCTGAGGTGCTGGAGCTAAACTGTCTCAACTTCAATAATGTTAGGGGAATATAGTATTTGTATTTGAAACTATATTAGATTATTGGCATTCGTTTTATTGAACTACGAATTGCTTTTATTATAATTTTTACCTTTTGCTTGATTACTACAATTTGTAGATTTCGTAGATAAGTTATAAATTTGATACAAAGTTTGATGGTCATAAACTGTAAAATTTAGACAGATATAGACACAATTGCTCACCGTTCTCTTTATTTAAACCTAAAACAGATATAGACTGGGTTTTATTAAACTTTTTCTCTGTGATTAATGGAAGAACCACATGGAGTTTTTATAAATGAGTCTAGAGTTCATATTCAGCAAAATTAAAGAATATGTTTAACTATGGAAAGATCATATATAAATTAAAATAGGTATAGCAATAATTTACATATTTGACAACCAAAAGAAGAAAAAATAATAATTCTTTGCTGAAGAATTTTCTTTAATTAGTGGATTTTGAGATGTAAATTCCATCATTGATATATCTTTCATTTTCGAGTTTTTGGTGATCTAAATCGTTTATGACGATTCAACCTTTTTCTGCGATTCATAGCCATTATACACTGCAACATTGCATGTACGCTTGGCAATGTACACATCGTCTTCCTTTTTTATTTAAGTTGATAATGATGATATACTACGCACTCAATTGTCCATGGCTGTTTTCTTCTCACTTGGAGTTTTCTAATTGTCTTTTTAGCTCACCTAATTGTCATCAAGTTCATAGTAAAAGGTGATATTTTCTTTAAGTGTTTAAGGTTGATTTAAGGCAGCTGAAAGTACTAGTTTACTTACATTAAGTGCTATTTATGCTAACTGTGGGTTTATCGGGAAAAAAAGATTGTAAATTGAAGTTGGAAGGAAAAACAAATCCAAATTGCCTGTAAATGATAATGAAAAAGTAGGCCTCTAAGCCTGAGAACGTAATGTTAAAAGGTATCAAAGCATATATAATATTTTTAGCTTTTCTTTTTCGAATAGTATACTTTTATAATTACTGAAATTAAGTGGACTGGTCACGGCGAGTCATCAATTAGACAATAAGAAATAAGTTATGATCATGTTGTTTCTTAGAATCCGTTGAGATCATGAGAATTTGAAGTGTGTTCCATTTGGATAAAATTTATCAATAATTGTATTTTGCATGGTCTATTGGAAGAAAATGATTATGTCGGTCCATGAAAGTGAATCGTCGAAGCAACTTGCCATCATTTCTCCTATGTGATTATTACATCAAATTATAGAGTTTTGTTAGCTTTGGTCTTTTTTGAAAAATAAAAAAAAATACAATAGTACAATATAGTCGTGCCATATGATATTAGTTTTTGTAAATGTAATTGGTGTTAATTCAAAACTACTAAATGTTGTTAAATAGCTCTCAACAATAATTATATATGGATTAAATTTTTTGGTTTTTTCGTTAACTAACTCATGATTGTTGTTTTTGACTTTTTGGATATCTGGGACAATTGTGTTCTGAACAAGTGAACATATGTTTAATCCGTTCGGGATTCACCTAACATGACAAATGCTATGCCTGTTCAAATCTACTGGATTTGGTATAAACAAAACGTAAACATTTTTCATCACTCATAGCCATTAACCACGACGTTTTAACAATCAATATTTCAACAGATACCGAACAACTTCAAATCATTTTTCTTTTTAATATTTTTTCTGATTATCCATATATGTTAACTAATATTATTACCATATAAAACATTGCGACCGTTATATATTAGTAGAATTATAAATCCTGACTTACTCGATAACACAAAAATAAATAATAATTTACAACCACTATGTGTCTATGTTACATGTCTCAGTATTGATACCGAAATTTTAAGTTCACTCCATTTGTATTTTTGATTATCTTTTTCAAGCTAACAAAATTATACACGAATCTAGGACAACCGGTACTAGTATAAACATATGTAGCTCATTTAAATAAAACGTTTAATTAACTTGATACATGCGCATAAATATATGATTTTACATTTTCGGTCCCAAGCAAGCAGGCAAACTAAGCGTGCTTAGTGCTTACAGAATTTATTTCTTTCATCTCTTTTCCTTTTTTTCATTTCTATTTTCCTTTTTTTCATTTCTATTTTCCTTTTTTAGCTTTTCCCGGGAAAGTGATAGAAACTTTGTCTCCTCGTTGAAATGTGAAACCTGCTTTTAACCTTCTTTTTTTTCATCTTTCTTCTAACGAGGGGGAAAAAGCATCTCAGGCTTTGCTTCAAGAAAACAGAAACCCGCCGGATGAATCCAAGGGTTTGAAACGGTCCCCTTTTGTAAATAGCAACTAATCATAGTGAAATGATGACACATCTCTCTCTTTCTTTCTTTCTTCCACTCTTTTGTCTCATTTCTTGTAAGAACATCAATCAAAGCTTGTCTTTTTATGTTGCTACGTCGCTCTCTCGCCGATCTGTTCCTCCTCGTTCAGTCCTTTTATTTCTCCACACTCTCTCTGCAGAAAAATTCAAAAAGAGTTGCAGAGATGATGCTATTGACAATGAGAATGAAAACGGTGCAATCTTTGAAACATTTACATATACAAACCAAGATTGTGATCGATCTACAACAACAAAGAAGTCGAAAATAGAACGCGACAAAGACCAGCACTACAATATATTCGATTGTGGTTGTGGTCCTGTTTATATCAATAATCAGAAAAGAACAAAGACTATGGAAACGAACCTTGAATCTCTTGTTTTATCTTCTGCTGGCTTAGTTTTGGTGTCTAATTTCTCAGGCCCATGAACAGTTGATTACAAAAGGCTTGGTTGATTCTCTACAACAGGAGTGAAGTTTCTTTTTGGTTTTGGCTCATCATTTACCCTTTCAAGTTTCAAGTTCCAACTTAACTAAACAGAGACTAACTTTTCATATCCCGTTGTTAAGGTTCATGGAGCACCCATTTTTATACCATAAACTTAGCAATGTCAAGCAGAAGTATTGATCAAGAAAAAGGTTGAAACTGAAAAATGGAGTTTCCATGGCAGAGCCAAGAAGCAGAAAAAGATGAGCAATTGAAATATGAAAGAACAAAGTACATTGAATCATTTTTCCAGTGCACCAGGTTGATGAAGACATTTGTAACTGGTAAATGGTGATACATGTAAAGTGTAAACAAAAGGGAACATCAGGAAAATTTTCTGGCAATTTTTCTTATTTGAATCAAATGCCCAGAAACAGAAAGACTTGAAGGAACGTAAACTAAAACTGGAGCTAAGCAGAAGCAGCCAAAGGTTTTTCTACGGCAGACTCATTAGGTTTCATGGAATTGAAGAGTTCTAGAACATCTGAATGATTACGGATATAGCTTGGGCACGTAGAGAGTAAATCCTGTGCTTCACTGTGCCTTGCAGACTTCATCATAGTTTCGAATACACTCAGAACCAGTTTGGTAGATGGAAAATTCTTCGAGGTCATAGCCTTCAGAAAACCAAGAGCTTCGGTGCTTGTTCCAGTTTTTGAGAAGTAATTCATGAAAGGCTCAAGGAAAGGAGGGAATCCGTGATCTTTCATTAAAGGTAAAAGATTCAAAGCTTCTTCAAAGCCACCATCTCTTGCAATCTTTTTCGTCAACAGATTCCTCACCAAGAGCTTGTATGTGCTATGACGAGGTTTCAGCTGATTTTGCTTTACTTGCGCAGTCAAAAGCTTGCATGCATCTCTTGCCTGATTCTTGTTGCAGTAAGCAAGAGCCAACTTCTCAAATGCATAATCAGCATAGGAGACTCCGGCTTTTCCAACCATTTTATCGAAACTCACTAGAGCTTCCTCGATTTCCCCGGAATCACAATACCCTTCAACAAGAGAAGCCATTGCCTTATCATCTAGGTTATTTCCGAATGCTTCCATAAAGTCTACAAGTTCCTCGGCTTCGTCTTTCTTTCCCTTACGACTAAGCACTGATGCGATCACGCTCTGCAGATCACTACTTGGAAGATAGCCTCCTTTCTCCATTGCTTTCAACACCTCGTTGCTCTGTGCAACCCTATCCACGCTAATCAAAGACTTCAAGACAGATTTCAGCATAGCATCCGTCAACACCTTACCATTTATGGTATAAGCTTCCACAGGTCTTGAAAACAAACCCATATCTAGATTCTTGGCAGTGACGATTTTCTTGAGCAACAAACAGAAGCAGTGTGGGGTGGGTTTGTTACTACTGCTACCCGCCATTGCAATCTCAAACAAATCAACAGCTTCCTTGATCAATTTACTCTGGCAGAACCTCGTAGAAACTCTAACATAAGTCTCTAATTCCACTTCGTAACCAGCACTCTTCATTTCAATGACAATGTTCTGAAATCTATCTAGAAAGTTCTCTTTTCCCAAAACCTTAGCAATAGCATTATAGGTCTTCTCATCATGCTTAAAGAGACCAGACTCATCAATCCAACGGAAGAACAACAAAGCTTTCCTGGGTTCAACACCTAGACTTTCCACAATCATCTTCACTAAATCACTTTGAAACTCAACATTTAAATCCCTTAGCCGTTTCTCCACATCATCACTCCATTCTTCCTCCTTCACAATCTTACACACCCTATCGCAAACACTCTCAGCCGAATTATCTAAACAATCGGAAGGGAAAAGCTTTTTCAGCCTCACCAAATCACTCTCAAGTCCATCTTTCTGAAACTTCTCACCCACTTTATCTCTAACATTAGCCGATAATCCATGTCCTTTCTTCTTCATAGCATCAACCAGCCCCCAAAACTCATCGACTAGTCCGTTACCACCCAGAATTCTTAGCATCATGTTATAGTTTTTCGAGGTCAGTTCCCCAGGAAAAGCCTTTGTAATCCACTGGAAAAACCTCCTCGCAACATCGGGGTTTGATTCGAGCCTTCTCAAAATTTTCAAAGCTGAGTCTTGGCTAATCACGATCTTACTCGATTCCAACTCTTTCCTGAGCTCATCTTCACCACTAAATCTGCTAAAGATATCAATCACGATGCCCTCAGCAGTAGGTTTCTCTTCGATCACAGGCTCGGACGAGAAGCTTCGACCCACTGATTCCAACATTCCTGCAGAGCTCCTAATTCGAGATCTTAAGGAACGAAGCTCTTCGCTCTGTTGCAGAGCTCCGATCCCAGAAGGTAGGTGAAGGAAACAAGAGAATGATCGGGTCGCAATGGTTGTTACCTGAAACTGAGAATAAGGAGAAGGGTAAGCAAGATGCGACCGACCGTAGCTTCGAAGAAGCATCAATCGCCATTGTTGATATCTCATCTCTGATTTGGTCTGGATTAGCCGAAAACACAAAAGGGTTCAGTATAGTGGATCTGATCAGAATCAAAAGCTTGATCCTTTCGAAAGAAATGAAACGGAGGAACAGCGATTGCGAAGCTCTGGGAAATGTTAGGGTTTTAGGGAGGATTTTGATGTTTGAGCCTTTGAGGTAAGGAAACACAGCTACTTGAGAGAGAAGGTCCCGTTGCGATGAAGATGAGGAAACAAACAAACAAAAACTTGGTACAATTTGATTTTAGCCCCTAGTTTCTGTGTGATTCCCAGTTTTGACGTATAATTTTTAATTGGATCAATATTTACCATGCTGGGAAAACATCATTGCCTGATATATTGTATTTATATTTCTTGATTTTGTAAAACTCGTTCAGGAATTTCTTATTTTGTTCGTGTTCTCTCATTTATTAGAATTTTTTCTTTGTTATTAAATGTAGGATCCAAGTGGTGGTTCGGTAATTTCGCTTCCGTGAACTTTATAATTCAGTTTTAACCAAAATGAGATGAAATTATGAATGTAAGCAGCAAGTGCATGGATAATAAGGATAAAGTTGTTGGAACTCAGATGAGATGTTTATAAATTAACTGGAAGCTAAATACATAAACATCGAAACGTACCCTTAAAGGGAGAAACATTATTGAAAACATTAAAACACTAAAACACAACAATAACAAGTAGGATGAAGATGATACTCAGTTTTATTCAAAAACCACAACCATTGATTAAAAATGGCAATTATTACTCTCAGTTTTATTATCTGAATCACTACTTGTTCATGCCGGTATTCTCCTTGACGACATTAACAGCTCCTCCTCCCGCCTCTGTTACTTTCTGTCCCGCCTATACGTGAATACAAATACCATATGAAAGATATAAGATCTACTTAATCACATGTATATATTGCTAGACATAAAAAATATGTGTATGGATCGCTTACTGTTTGTGCGGACGCTCCAGTCGCTGCAGCAGCATCCTTGGCCTTGTCCAGCAACACATTACTCTTCTCCTATACACACCATTGTCCACATAAAATTTATTTGTTAATTCATTTACTTAATTATATATGACAACAAAAAATCCAACTAAATTGTTAACCAAAATAATAAATAATTAAGAAAGAAGCAACGGAAATAGTACGAAATAGGCAAAAGTAGAAAGAAACAAAGTTTAATAGTATAGTAAACAATTTCTTTTTTATTTTGTTCTCTTCTCATTTTGTTAGTTGATGAAATTAATATATAGTAAAAGATACTAATAAGCTGTTTAGTGCTTCAAAGTAGATAGGTTTTGTTTCAAGATTCTCTGTTTTTTTTTTTAAAATGCGTAATCGTATCAAAATTCTCATAAACATGTAGTTCTTATTAAATTAAATATCTCTAAACGCACAACCGCGTTTTGATCAAAGAACGTGTCAAAAGAGAGAAAGAGACCTCAGCTTGGCCTGCGGCTTGACCGGCTTGGAAGCTCTGCTGCTTGTTGTCTGACATTTTTCTTAAAAGATATTTTTGTTTATATGAATCTTGATGTGTGTGTTTGGTTTTGATTGATGAGAAGAGAATGGGCTTAAGGTTTCTACTTATAAGCCCAACTAAAGATGCTTGTATGGTGCCACGTGCAGTCGGAAACCACGTGGACGACCCATAATGGTACGATAAGCTTTGCCTGACGTCGGTAGCCGTTTATTGGCTATATCAGGATTCACGTGTCGTTTCTAGATGGATATTTTACTACTGTATTTCCCCTTTGTATGTGGTTGAGTGGTTCTCTCGCCTCCCCGTTTTCTTTTTCATTTATTTATTAATATATAGAAAACAATTACTAGAATGACTTTACAATTAGGTCTGTTTGCAAAACTAACCTATGCCCCTTATATTTTTGCTAGAATAACCTTACAAGCGTGGAAAAGACAGCTTTATCCCTCACCCATGAAAATTTGAATATATTTTTTTTTTGTATTATAAATTCGTAATTCACAAATATAGTAAATATACAGCGATAAATATACAATAAATTATAACTTTCTTCGACAGCAAATAAATGTAGAACAAAAAAAAACTTTTCAGTTTCCCGAAAAAAACTGTTCTTCGAAACCCTAGAGGCGATTCGCGGGTTCTCTTCATCTTCGATTCGGTTGCAAACGACGACCTAGAAACCCAGTTTTCCGGTGTTTCCTCGTTCTCTGCTTCATCGGCGTTAGTCGTCGGCCTGGTTTGCGTCTCTGGTAAGTATTTTTTATGTCTTCGTTTTTCTGAAATCTTTGGTTTGTTTCGTTTTGTGATTCGCGTTCGTTCACCGTCGTCGGATGTGTCGGCGAGAGGAGGCACCGGCGAAGTCTTGTGCAAACTGTCTAACCCTAAATTTGTTTTCCGGTGCAGGAATTTAGTTGGTCCGCGGTGGTTTCCTCAAAAACTTCGCTTCGTCGAAATTTGTTTCCCGGTGAGTTTTTCGAAGGAATTTTACAGGCATATTTGGTAGACTACTAAAAGATAAGTCTATTTCACTTATGTTATGGTCAGGTAGAGTTGTTTGTTGTGACTCTTATAGATAGCATTGTGATAGAGTTGTTTGTGTGTCGTTTCAGGTTTAGATATAATTGTTTGTTTTGTTGACATGTAAAATTGTAATGGTTGTTTGATAGACTTGTTTTGATGAGTGGTAGACTTGTTATTGGTATTAGGTAGACTTGTTATTAGTGTATGGTAGACTTGTTTTGTTGTTTGATAGACTTGTTTGTTGAATATAACCGTAGTGTATAGTAGACTTGTTATTGTGTCGAGTGGTAGACTTGTTATTGATGTGAGGTAGACTTGTTATTGGTAGACTTGTTTTTGACGAATGTGGTAGTCTTGTTTTGTATTGTTATTGTTGTTGTTTTTTGTTGAGGTCGTTTTGGTGTTGTTTTGTATTGGTGTTGTTTTTGTTGATTGGTAACGTTGCTCTTTTTTTTTTCTTCTTAGATGGCTTCATCTAGTGATTCGAAAGAATATCCCCCAAGATTGCATCAGCCTGGAAAATCTCCCTTACAGGAGCACAACTTTAACTATGGCTGTCACCTGACTGATTTCGGCAAGTTGAGGGAGAACATTGGCGATGATATTTTTAATGATGTAATGAACAGATGTGCAATTGGATCAATTTTGAAGCTTGCAACTAGGGGATATGTTTGGAGTTCACACATGGTTCATCAGTTCATAGCCAACCAATTGGCCGTGGACAGGCAGTACGAGGTTTGGTCTTTGATTGGTGGTAGACCGTTGAGGTTTTCGTTGCACGAGTTCGCAGAAATTACGCGGTTCAACTGTGATCCAATTGTCGAAGATGGCTGGGACATTGATCACACTGAGTTTTGGGCTGAGATGGGTGTCAAAACCTTCGACGGTCCTAATTGGAATGAGTTGGATCGTGTCATAGATCGCTGTCAGACATGGAGCGAAGCGAAGAAGAAAATGGTTGCAAAGCTCCTTCTCCTGCATGTCGGAATATTTGGTCTCAACCGGAATAGT